GCCCACGCTGTCTGTTCTGCCTGCTTCCCACACTCACTGTCACCTCGTGTTTAGCACAAAAGCCTTTTTTTTCCTTCCTGTCTGTCACACTCACCCATCATGTTTCCTTCTTGCTGGGTATGTAAATGGTCTGTGAACTGTTAAGTAATTTGCCCTGCGGCTGCTTGAGTTTAGTCCCAATCAATTAACAAAAATACAGCAATATACATTAATAAGCCCTGTGCATGCACCGCAAAGTGCAAATGCCATACATACAATTTTCTTGTGATTAATCTCTCCTTCTCCCTTTGTTCATTTTTCCAAAAACACTAACAGATGGCCTTTCTGCAGTCCTAGAGCTCCTCTCTGCTAAACACTATGTAGCAGAGATAAATGTCACTTAAAAATCAAGTGATGAATATTCTCGGGGAGATTAAATCTCCTAATCTGTATATCCCTGAAATATTAAAGTTATGAAAATGAATGGATGCTCTCGGAATAGTGCCCGCAGAAATAATGACGAAACTGCTAAAAGTCATTTAGCCCTGCTGTGCCATTATTTAAGCTCACAGGAAGTGCCTTGGGGAAAATGAGGATTTGTCTCAGCAGAGGCAGGGTCAAACCTCAGCTGCCCTGCAACAACCACGCTCCCTGCTTGAGCCCAGCGCGGACGGACGGAAGCGAGAGCGCAGGGCCTGGTTTAGGAGATTATTTGGCAGACCTCGTCGTTTAATGTCTGAGAAGTTAAGTTTGGGACAGTAGCCCCTCAGGAGGGGGAGGGAGGATTTGTCTTTGTGTTTCTGAGGAGATTGGTCGATTCTGTGGCGGGATCATCATCACACATAAACACCCGTGAGAAACTGTGTTTGGCGTGGCAGGCTTTTAAGTCGGAGCAAGGAAGGATCACATTAACTTGAACACAGCTTCAAAGAAAATGTTGGAGCTCATGTTGCACAGTGTTTGGGGGTAGTGATGTTAGGAATATATTCTGCTCTCTGGCATGTGTTTCAAACCCTCAAATGTCCCACTTTCTGCGAGTCTGTGCCCGGGGACTCTGGGTTTCAAATGCTAAAGGTGTGTGCGTGCATGCGTGTTTGTGTCTGTGAGTGTGCAGCAGTTCAGGGATTAGCTCTCTGCCCATAACTTTTTCACTTCAGTCACCATGGCAGTGAAACAAAGGTCTCTGTGCGCACATCTAACCAGGCCTTACAGACGGAGGTCTAAAAATAATGCAGTGCTTTCAATTAGCCCCTCAGCTCTGCAAAGCATTTGAAACAGGCAGCCAAGTGAACAGGGTCGGGGTTATCTGGTGAAAAGACCTTTGGGAGGAGTGTGAGTGCCTTTACTGGTTATAGTCCACCCATGCTGTTGCTATAGCTCCTGCAAAGGCTTCCTAATTGTCCTGGTTTGAGAGCGTCTTCAGGGTGTTTTAATTTTCTGTGGCAGATGTCCACGTTATATATCTACAAGCTCCGTGGTCAGCGAAGTTCCTCCTCCGCTGTCACATAATCACCCGCTCTGAGATGTATGACAATGTTTGAAAATGAGTAATGATTAAAATATCACTGCAGCATATTGAGAACTTTAATAAAAGAGGTTAGAAGTTCTTTGTTTTGTAAAGACTTCTCAATTTTTCCTATCCTAAATGTCACAGCATTAAAAATCCCACATGGTGAGGAGAGTAAACTTGCAGTTAGTTTTCAGTAAAGCTCAGTTTAAGAAGGCAGTTATGTCTCATTGATTAATTCATTTCGCAGAGTTTAGCCGAATAAAAAGGGCGTATGCTGTACAGATTGACTGATGTCTACTTCAGACCTGAGAGAAAACTGTCAGCGGCCTCACTTAGTTTTGAAATATTCATAGTGTTTTACCCAGGACAATCATAGACGTCGAACTCGAGTGAGGAATGATTTTCCGTCTTTAAACAGCTGTGATAGTCATTTCAGATGAGATTTCAGTGTGTCTGAATATTGATGCTGTATTAAAGGCCAGGGCTGCCATGTTGACACAGACCTGTCAGGCGCACTGATGGATAATTAATACGGCATGGATTTAATTATGTACTTAGAGTAATTGGCTTAGACTGAACTAAGTGCTCAGTTTAGTTGATTTAAGGTGGATTGCAGTAATGTCACCAAATCCTAATGAGTAAAGATAGAGATTACACCAATTGATCCATCACAAACATGAAGTTTAAAATGATTTACAACTCAAATTCACAGTCATTTTTCAAATAATGAACGAAAGATTATCTATCACAAAATAAAGGCTAACTGTCATTAGCAGATTTAATCGACTGTAGCTAGCTGGCGGCCCTAAAAATATATATCAAAATGAAATATGCACTTGGTTGTGTAGATAATTTTATGCTAAAAGACTGCGTATCCCACACCAGGCAGTCAGCATTCTCACCATTTGAATGAAATTTGATGGAAATGAAAATAAAGAAACAACATTGTGTATCAAAGGGAAGAGATAGTCAGCCCCTCTTTCAATGCATTATAATTAAAAATTTAATTAATATATGATTTATGCTGAAAGGCACTTGCGGTTGCCATGGTTACAGTGTTAGTGCAGCTACAAAGAGAGGCATGGCTCTTGACTTTCGCAGCAGTAAACAGTACGAGCCCTGACACACCAAACCCACGGTCGGCCTTAGGTCAATATCCGGCCGTCGGTGAGCATCTGTAGCCCTAGTTATTGGAATGTGTCCTGCACCATTGGCACTAGTCCTTTGTTAGCCCTTGACAGCCCTTGTGGCCCTTGTTGGCCCTTGTTGTTGCCAATTCAAGATGCTGAATGTGCGTGTGTGTGTGCCGGCTGAGCTTGTCGCTGAATGAAATTACTATGATTGGCAATTCAGCTCAGTGCACAAGAAGATAAATGACAGTGAGAAAATAAAATAAACAAGTCAAGTGAAATTGAAACAAACGTGTTATGTTAGGTAAGTTTATTATTTTAACAATTTGAAATCTTTAGCAGAAAGGGCTCTTATTGTATGATTGTGTTATTGGTTGTGAACACATGGTAAATCACTTGTTCTCTCAACATTGGGTTGTCTTGTTAATGTGCTAACTGGCTAACTAGCATCTTGAATCATAGATGTATAATAATAACTAGGTACCGAACCCCAAGATGGCGCCCATTCACTCCAGTGGGCACATGCTCCAAAAAAATGTGTCTAGCTTCAAGGATTACTTCTGCGCTATGCAACCCTACTGAATATGTGCAGTCATGTTTCACCAGCTGGACCTGTCTGCGAGTTCCCGCTCAGCTCATAGACTTAACATTGTGATGACATCACAGATTTTGACATTGTCTTTCTTGGCTCAAGAAAAGTTTGAACAATATAAAACCTCCATGGATCAAAAATTTGTTATAGAAAGAGTCACAATTGACCTTGTTTGCAGTTTGAGGTAGCCTGACAATAGTTTTAGAAGCGTCTCATTTACAATAGTGGTCTATGGAGAAAATGCTTATTGCTTATACCACCAGTGGCCACTGGGAAAAATTGGAAGCAAGGCTTAGCAGTATTTCCGGGGGCCTGATCTGTCCTGTTGGTCTTCCAATTTCCCTTTTTGAATGATGAGCAAGACTACTGCTGACTGCTGCTATGGAGAGTTTCTTCCTCTCATGCAGGCGCAGAATGTATGTGCTAGTTGGCCAGTGGTTGTAGTCTTTGTGGTGTGTTCAAGAGCAACTTTCTGGCTGAGACACCAGCGATCTATTTTCATGACAGAGGAATTAGCTATAGAGACCAAAACCGTTTTATTGTACCAGGCTGAAAACATGTTTATTTCAGCTGTGAAGTCAGGCATTTTAACATGGGGATCTTTGGGGATTGACTTCTTGAGCCAGCCTCAAGTGGCCACTAGAGGAACTGCAGTTTTGGCACTTTTCGTGCTGGCTTCATCTTTCAGCCCCGCAGGTTGACACCCAGACTTGATCGATCTGCCCTGCCTAATTACAGTTCCTGAGCTCTGATTGGATAATTGCTTTGTGGAGGTGGGGTTTTCATGATTGCTCAGTTGATGATTGAGTGTGTTAATGTTCAGACTGCTGCCATGGATTGTAGATTGACAGAAAAGCAGATGATCTCTCATTTTTGTATCTGTAAATGATCGCTAAAATATTCATGAAAGTGTAAAAGGAGATTTTATTGATTGATTATGCAGGATAATACGCTGTAGATACAGGATGTGGTCCAACTTGAAGAGTGAAGCTGTTTTTGTGTGTGTGTGTGTGTGTGTGTGTGTGTGTGTGTGTGTGTGTGTGTTTGAAAATGTAAGCCCGTCAGCATTCGAGAATGAGTTTCCATTGTACGTCTCATGAGAAAGCTCCAGATCACAGTTCACACTGAGGCTTTCATCTGTCAGTCACAGTCAAAGATTAGAAGATATCAAAGGTCGCCGTGTTAAAGTCTTCTCATCCTGTCGTCATCCGCAGGGTGGTGAGAGTGCAGACTTCAGCGGTGACATGAGGATAGATTTTCAGTTCTGATTTTATTCAAGTCAGAGTGTTCGGGCTTTGTAAGATAGCGTTTGAAATCAGAGACACAATCCTTTCATTAATGCAGAGGCCATTTTTTCTCCCTCACACATGGGCTAAATTATGAATGCGCTGTTATTTGTTTACTCCATGTTGGACTGAGAGATGTGCATTATTCATCTGCTCTGACAGGAGAGACAGCAGAGTAGGACACAGGCCTGGAAAAACATTAAAACAGAGCGCAGTCTAACAAGGACGTTGCCAGGGATTTGAGCAGTCATGCACATGCAAACACAATAATCGACTTTCTCTCAATAAGCTTGTTTTCGGCCAACTCTCTGCAAGAAGATGGTTCACTCAAGAAAACAAGTCTAAATGATTTCCAAGATGAATTGGTGTTGGTCAGGATATTGGTGGTGTGTCTGTGCGGCTGCTCACCGATCTGTGGGTCTGATGTACAGTCTTTGTTTAGAGTACATCAGACAGACAGAGCTTCTGAAGCTAATTAGATTTTCTTTGTGTTTTCTCCTTAGTCCTGAGAGATGATTTCCGGCAGGCCCCGAGCGATGTGGTGGTGGCTGCTGGTGAGCCTGCAGTCTTAGAGTGTGTACCTCCACGTGGTCACCCTGAGCCCACCGTGTCCTGGAAACGCAACAACGTCAGAGTCAGCACCAAGGATGAACGCATCTCTGTGAGTTCAACATGATCACTGAGCAAGTCAAACCAAAAGTTATGCACACACACACACACACACACACACACACACAGGGCCATTTAATCTCTTTAACACTACATGTTGAGTAGCCGTGCCATGATTTCTCACTGGAGCAAATGTGTATAAATCTCTAACAAATCCACTAATTACACCCGTTAAAGTAAACAACAGTGCTCAGCTGTTAAATTAAATTATTTAGCCTTTTAGAAAAAATGAAAATAAGTCACGCAATAGATTTATCTGTATGTCTTCAATGGGAGCACATGGCCTTGTGGCTGAGAGCGACAGAGACAGCCTGACTGTTACGACCAAGCTTTTAAAGAAAAAGGAAGGCAACATAAAACCAGAAGTTTAAAGGTAAAATAAAGATATTTATTAACAAAGGAGTGTGAATATGTGATACAAACAAAAATTTGAAGCAAACTATGAAGAAAAGAGGGCTCGTGGGTGCTGTTCAATTCAAAGAAAGAAATATAACCAAAAGAGGATTCTTACAATAAGTCTAACTAAACAAAACTAAAGGCGAAAATAAAAACCTCACTATACAGCTTTACTTGATGGAAAATCAAAAAACAGACAAACAGCACCCTTGTATCTAGTTAGTCTAGCAAAGAGAAAAATACTGCCTGTGTGCGACAGTTTTTTAAACTACACCTGGCTCAGTCCCCCGTGTCGTTTGGCAGCACCTCAATAACTAGTTTCACAAAAGCTAAATTCAACAATACCATCTCAGCTTGAAACATCTGCAAAAATGGGAGGCATGCTGTTGGGTGGAACAGTTCCATTTGCCACAACTGTTAAGCTGACTATAGGCATTTGTAGCTTCTGGGTCCTGAGCTGTACCCTCTGGGTTGGAGAGCCACACAATCAAGATACTTAACCTGTCAAGACAGGAAGCACAAGTGGGGATGGGCCAAGTCCTTGGGAAGTGCGCCAGGCTTTAAAGCCAATTTCGTTGTGGCCAAAGTGTGTACGTCTAAGTCCTTCAAATGATGCCCCACAGCCCAAAAAGACTTTTTCCAATAGACTTACATGGTGAAAGAGATGTCTGTAAATCAGTGGAAACATTTTTTTGAGTGTCAAAACCCAGGTAAAATGACTCGTTTCCCCATCAGGATTTAATCCACTTGGTCCGATAACAATTTAAACATCTGGAAGAGCCACAAAATTAAATCATTTATCCCCATTCAAGTTAACGGAACGCTAAACTGGAAGTAGCTGACTCAGCGGGCAGAAGTCTCTAGTGTGCCTACTCTATGGGCCACACCAGGGGCGATTGCTCTGAGACAACAAGGGAGGCTGAACTTCCCCTAAAATTTCATAGAGGAAATGGTCAAATATGCACTATTGAATTTACATTAAAATAAGAATTTACATTGCATTAAACATGCGCTGGGATACGGTTCACATCATGATTATGATGTTCAAACATCAGCTGTTAATCACCAGTTTTCAAACACGACCTCCCTGTCATACATTCTCGTGTCAGCACGTTGGACGTGGAGCCTCTAAGCATTCCTATGAGACAGCACTGAGCAGGTTTTTTCCATGCAGCAAAGCGAGATGGTCATTGGATAAAGACAAAATCGTCACTTCCAGGGAGGCTCAGCTTCCGTGGGACCTCATGGAGCGGTACGCAGGAGAGGACGCTCGGTGTATGCATGATGATTGGAGGAATTGTCTAAAAGGCTGAACCCCTTTGTGATTGACAGCGCTTCGCATTTCAAGCTCAGTCCCATGATGATATTTGTGAGTCTTCTGACAGAGTGCTGTCCGGAGTTCATTATTTCAATAAGCCATATAGCTCATTTTCACCGTTTGTCGACACAGTTCAGGTGTTTAAACCCATCTGAAAATATTTGAGGTGTGTTTTGCTGTGGTTCTATGGCATGAGTGTGGCTGAAAAACGGCTTCAATTAAATGTTCCTTTTATAAGTTACTGCCTTGCTACAATATGACAAATTTTATGATATAAACTTAAAGTGAGCTCCCCCTGTTTGAAAGACCAGCCCCCACCACTGGGCCGCACAATGCGGAAGCAGTGCTGATCACCCGAGTGATTTTATACTTGGCAGCTGAACCATTTTGGCTTCATGCACCACTGAGCAACTTTCATAGGAATGAACGGGGTCCCACTGCCAATGCAGTATCCAGCTCTCTTTATACATCCATGGGATGGGCTAAGCTTTAGCAGATGGACCCAGTCAGGTGCAGGGGACCAAGAACAATATAGGTTAAGCACCTGGAGTGAGCGTTGGCAATGGCCGAAAAAACAGATGCATTGTTGTTTTTGGTCTTTTCATGGAATTGTTTGACAGTAACAAAGCTGTAGGTGTATATTTTTATACCAAATAATATAAAGTATATAATATAATATAGTAAACAATAGCTAAAATGAAAAAAAGAATACATTTAACAGGAAATGTAATCTAAAATATCAGTTGTAAGACTCAGGTTTTTACCTTTCTCTTCAGAGGTTTTTTTTAAACGGNACAAATGTAAAATATCCTTGGTTTGCAGAAAATGAACACTACCAACATTTTATTGTGGTTACTGGGCAGAGTTGTCATGGCAATATTAGAGGTAGTAGGTTTGGCAGTCATAAATGAAAATATACAGATGTGGAATGAGATGCAACAAGGCTGGATGCAAACCTGGGACGTTCTGAGCAGCAGCCGCAGCATAAAGGCATCAGTATGGATATCACTCCACCTTTCCCTGTACTGTATATTATTGTACAAGGTTACTGTTTATGCATACCCGTCACAGTACCAGTGAATCAAGTGTAGCCTCCCCAGACAAGAGCCCAACGTTGTGAGTGTAAACACGCCGGCACTGGGAGGAAGGTGTAACGGAGAGGATGTTGTGGATGTAAGATGCAGGTCGCAGATAAAAGCCGTAATCACAACAAATGACCCCTTATTATTACAGATGTGGAGGATAACATGTTAAACGTGGGAGAGAGCCTGAGGGGGAGAGAGGGGCTCCACGGTGGTTTATTTTCCTCGGCAACAGGAAAAAGAAAAAAGAAAATACCAGTTTATGTGTGAGTTTGCACCCACGCCATTCCCAGGTTGGCCCCCATCGACCACGGTTAAGGTGCTCTTTGAAGTTGTGTTAGTATAAGCGTCTGATAGAAACGTCAACAAAGCTGATCAGTATTTGTTAAGCTATTCAGGTGATTGATAAGTGCAGCTTTAAATATTTTTGCAAGAAGTTTATTAGCTAGATTCTAATTTTCATCTCCGTCTTTGCTGCGCTCACTATGTGCCGCTTTCCTACAGTAAATCCACTGGAATGTAAATGATACATACTTAACATATGTACTCCTCATGATGGTGTGCGTGCTTCCTGTGTACTTCGGGGGGTATCAGCTGAGGGGTCAACACTGGGGGTGGGGGTCACGCAAGAGGACACGACGAGCCCAGGTTTAAGACGGCTACGGTTTCAACCGAGCAGAGGCTTTGTAGCGTGGGATATGAAGCCTGACTCTAAAGCCGTAGGAAAATAAACCCAAACAGGGAGGAAATGTTGGCTTATCTGAGCTCAGGAACACAGCAAGGGGAAGAGATTTTTTTTTTCTTACATGCACAATCCTCTGCCACCCTCCTACACTCCGATCCAACTCCCAGAGGCAATTTCAGCAGCACGTTATTATGCATTCTTTTTAAGCCATAAAAATATCTAATACGCCTCTCCTGTATTTAAGTGAAGCTTACCTTATTACATTATTGTGTCACATGTTCGCTGCCCTACAAAAGCCAAAGAGTGTGAGCTGTGTGGGCAGGGAAACTGAGCTGATCTCCTGCTCCGACAGGAAGTAGCGCTGGCCCAGGAAAGGATTATTTATCATTTAGTCGTATTTATGAGCATAATTTGTTTCCGCGGTGAAGTCTAAACTGTACTGCTGACCTGTGATCTTACCTCTGTTTGTCTTTCTCTCCTCCTGGAGGGAACGAGCAGAATCAAGAGGTTCAGGAGGCTGGATTAGCAACCGGGCAAAACGGGCAGTTGCCCCAGGGCCCCATGAAGTCCAGGGGCCCTGAAAGCTCTGAGGTTATTGTATGTCAACTGGTTTGTGCAAATTTAATTGAGAGTGCATTTGTGAGTGTGCACCACGAAAGCACGATACCAGCATGATAATCATATCACCACCAGCAAGCTAAACAGGTTTGAAACCACTAAGGTTCGTCACCAATCTCGCATGCATTTGTAAAGCGTCTTTCTCGTCTTCGCAGCAACTCCAATTCACCCATTCACACACACATTCACACACTGCTGGCCAAGGCTACCACACAAGGTGCCACCTGCTACTCAGTTTAGAGATTCACACGTGCTCACACACCAAAGGCTGTGCCATTGGAACCAGTTTGGGGACCAGTATCTTGCCCAAGAATAGTTAGACGTGTGAACTGGAGGAGCCAGGGATGGAACTGCTGATCTTCTGATTAACAGACGACCCACTCTACAGCTTTTAAGGGTAGCGACCAAATGTTTTCAGTACCACCTAGGAGTGGGAGATATGGCCCTGAAGTAGTATCACAATGAGATTCAGATTCTGTTCAACTAAATAAATCTACCACAAATTACACATTGAAACAGCTCCGAAGTACAAAAAATGTCCCTTGGGATCTATATATATATATATATATATATATATATATATATATAAATCAACAGGTGATTTCCTTCTCTTTTAGCAAAATCCCTGTTGATTGAGTTGTTTTTTTTTTTTTCATCTGGACCTTTATGTTCTGCCATTTCTCCTCAAATCGTCACGCTGTAACCTGTGACAGGCTGTTATGATACCAGAACTACCGCACATTCACATATATGGAGTTTTTTGTCGAGCCGTGAGCATCACATAGGTTTACATTACCAAAGGGAGTGCTGCTGCCAGAGGTGCCGCTGAATGAGTTCCCTCTGAGCAGTAACTCCCTAAAAGAGTCTCAGAAGTCCGGGGCTGTTCATAAAACATCCAGCACGCCACAGTTTATTCCACACTACTGAAGCTGCTCCTCTTTTTGGAACCACTATGGAGTCAATGATAATTCTGTTCTCAGCCATGCTTGTTGTTGCCGTGGGTAACAGTATGACATCAATGTGTCAATGAGTCGAAATATCGTGTATCATTATATGAATTTTTCATGTGACATTGAAAATTATACCAGTATGTGTCAAGTGGCATCCACATAAATGCCAGGACCTAAAGTTTCCCAGCAGAATGTTGCATTGTAACGACATAATCAGGGTCATTCACCTCATCTGTCAGTGGTCCTAATGTTTTGGCTGATTGCTGTAAGTTTATATTAATCATCTCACCTCATTATCAGCAAGAAACCAAGTAAGCGCTCATGTCTGTATGGTGAATATGAAGCTATGGCCAGCAGCCAGTTAGCATAGCTTAGCATGAAGACTGGAAACAAAGGGGGAACAGCTCGTCTGGCTTTGTCCAAAGAGAAGAAAATCTGCCCACTAGCACCTTAAAGTTCACAAATTCACACCAATTTATGTACAGGTTAACAAACAAGATTTAAAGTGTGACCTTTGGACAGAGCTGTTTCCATTCTTTATGCTAACATAAGCTCAACAACTGCGGGCTGTAGCTGAATATACAGGGATATAATTACAGGACGAACATGTCTACATGCTGGATTTGAAGCATGAGACAGCAGGCGGTAGAAAAAAATGTACAGTGACTCATTTGTCCATTCTGAGAACAGGTAATTGTTATGATTAAAAAAAAAATAACGATGGTTGTTTTTCACATTTGCAAAGAGGTTTTTTCTGTTTAGTCAGTAATCTTCTTCTTGGTATTTTGTATTTCATTTATCTTTTGCTTCTCTGGTTTATGAGTCTATGAAATTAAGTCAATTATACTGATTTGATTCAGTGTTTCTCCTGCATAGAGTTAAATGGCTGCAGTTGCTTTCTGCACTGTGGTTGTGTTTGGTATTTTAAATATTTCTGCTCTGCGAAATCCATTTTAAATTCGTATTTCATCTACTGATATGAAATAAAAATGCTTTTTTTGTCCAACAATGAGTAAAAAGTCCCTCAGTGGGTTAAAATAGTTGTTTCTAATTGATTTTTTCAAGTATTTTCCAGGAGCCAGTGACAGTATCGAAGGTGTATAAGGTAGATTGTTCCAGTCGTTTGAAGATAATGTCACATGATTGGAAAAAAAAAAATTCCTCGCAGGTTGATTGACAAGGAATGAAATGACATTATCTTTTGGCACTGGCAGATTTTCTTCGCTTTGTGTAGATTAGTATGGTCATTTTCTTTTTGCTCTGCTCCACTGTTAGATCTTTCATTATCTCCCTTTTTCTCATTCCCAGGTTTGAAATCCGCAACGGCAACAGCCTCCGTTTGTTCCGCGTGAAAGAGCAGGATGAAGGGACGTATACCTGCACATCTGAGAACAGTGTGGGCAAGACAGAGGCCTCGGCCATGTTGCAGGTCCACGGTAAGAATGCATCATGCATATTGTATACGGGCACACACACAGACACACTTAGACATGCATAAAAAAAAGGCTCATGTTCATGCATACAGGCACATGGCAACAGAATCATGCAAAAGCCAGTCCCCATTTCCTGTCCAATGCTTGGTGTTTTTATATCAGTGTATCTGTGTGAGTCCCTGTCCAGCGGTGTTGCCAGGAGCTTATGCTAAACCGTATGGATTACGCCATTTGACAGATGTTTGGTAGATGTGTGCTTTAACTCACTGCCAGAGAGCAGTCCCAGTATTAATAAGACATGACTCCCTCCCTCTCTCTTCCTGTCTCTTTATCTCTGTGCTCTCGCCTCCTCGCTCTCTGTGTGCCCTTTTTCTTTCTCTCTGTGTGCCTTGGTTTAAATAGTCTCAGACGACTTCATCCACTAATGCTTTTATCAGTGTAAATGAAATCCAAACCGAGCAGTTTTCCATTCACTCTGCTTCTTCTTCTTTTTTTTGTTCTTTTCTCCCTGGCTCCTTTCCGTGCTATCACTGGTTTTGTTTTGTAGCTCAGCGTTTCATCCATCTCATTAATTTTCCATCTCTCTCCATCGTGTTTCAAACCATATCATCATTCCAGTCGGCCCATTCCGTAAGTTCACTCTCCATCTAGTTCTTCTCTTTCAGCATTTGTTTTATGCTAATTTATATTTGCTCTTTCCTGTGTGGTATTCTTAATGGTTTTTAAATCAACAATCAATGCCTAATGGTGTAAATAAGTTCCTCCATTAGGCACTGAGTTGTTGACAACGTGCCTGTTGCTGCAGTCAGGCATTAAGTAAGCCTCAGACACAGCGACTTAATGTACAGCAGATTAAGGGCTCCTATCAAACACACATCTGCTGTGTAGAGAGGAGTGTGTCAGGAGGATAGTGTGACACCACCATGTAAATCCCTCTCTCATTTGAAGCTACAGTTGTTCAAAATGCAGCTAAAAGGTTTTTAATTACAACTTAGTGGAGGTCTTCGTTTTTAAATGAAGACATTATTTGACTTCAGGTTACATACTTTTAAAAATTAAATTGTTATATGACATTTCCGGTAGATGTATATGTGTCCTTTTTACATACTGACTAATAACACAGTGCTGTTATTATTAAAGGGGCACTCCCGCCATTTAGAAGTCCTCCTCCATGACATTAGGGAACTCATGAGAGACAGAGATATCCTGATTTTTAGTAGCTGTAAAAAATACCGGCTCCTACATTTCACATAATTGAACTGTAGGAGATTTTATTTCATTACACCCTCAATGCTTTTAATTTGTGCTCTCAAGCTCAAGTCAGAACAACCCTGATGACATTTTTAAAGCCCAGTTCAGACCAAAGAGTCGCAACGAGACAAAACCGTCTGTGCTCGACTCAAGCCGGCTGATGGTGCCACCTGCAACTCAGCTGGTCAAATCATGGGTGGCGGGTTTTAGAATGTAAGGTCGGTCACCTGTTTCTACAGCCATTCAGCTTGTAGTGAAGTTCGCTGCGGCAGGTGCTCCATCCAGGATTTCCGTCCTATCCTGTCGGATGGTGGGTTGCACTGCTGCTGGATGTATTCTTGTTGACTGATTAATTGGCGCTGGATATTTGTATTATTGTGGCATATTTATTATGTATACAGTCCATCTGATGCTACTACAAATGCAACTGTAGTTACAGTATCTGTAGCCAGTATCTCACTATCACTATCCTCATTCATATTTTAAGAAGCTACAAATTATATTCAACCACAAAATAAGCCTTAAAAGCTGGAAATCAGAACAGAAGTACAGAGAGTTGTTGCATAGAGATGATAAACCGTCTCATCTAAGCCCTGTTTCCTCCGAGCAGTACTGTGCGGTTCAGTTTTTGTTCCCCTTCTTTTGGGAAAATGTCGGTGTGCAGCATTGTACTGTGGACGGTAAACGAGGTGCAGACTTGAGGAAATACAGTGAGTGCTGGATGGAACAGTGAGTGACAACAACCCCGCCCAGGGGTACTGTTTGCAGTGGAAACGCTAGGGTCTACTGTAGGTACCATGTCTGAAGGGTTCCTGGTGGAAACGGTGCTCTAGTTGTATTGGTGTGAACCGGAAAGTCTTTAGAATGTTGCAGAAAGGTGTATTGCAAGTAGAACTAGTTCAACTCGTCTCGTCGTAAATCTTTGGTCTGAACTGGGCTTAAGACATCATCAGGGTTATTCCCACTCCTCATATAGTATCTATACTAACTGTCATGTATAGAATTAGTGGAGTGTCCCTTTAAGTAGTAGTACTAGTTGTAGTATTTGTAGTTGTAGTAGCAGCTCTAGTGTTGATTTTACTGTTAAACTATTGAGATTTGCTTTTCATCCTGTGGTATATCTAATATTCTTTTATTTAACATTTATTTTATGAGGAAATGAATGTTCAGGAGTGTTATGAAAAGGTGCTCTATGTGATTTGGGGGGAAGGAGCTAAACTAACCTACCAAAAGAATTATGAACAAAAATACAGACAGCAAATCCCGAATCTCTAAAGATGGATTCAGACTACAGGAGTTTTGGGCCAGTTTATCCCTAAATCATCTCTCCTGCAATCAGAGAAATCTGGTCCGGGACATTTGTTGGTACTGATGTTTGGCCCAGATTATCCGGTAATATGAGCAGTTAACAGATCCAGTTTTTAACCTCCCAGACTGCTCACAGGTTCACTGGGGCTGCCCCTTTGATTTCAAACATGTTGATATTTAGAAATTCAAATTCTACGGACTACGTCGGTAGTCGGTTATGATTACATAAGAACGAAGCAGCTGATGGTGTTCCTAAGCAGTGGTCAACATCGTAGCCCTTGAGGCTAACGTTAGCTGGCATACTACTGTTGACAGATAATAAAACTAACAGTTAAAATCTCACCTCCAGTTCTCGCTGAAGAATAGGCAACCTGTTTTGACCATTTTCTCATCCAGACCCGTTGATCCCTCTGCGTTTGTTTTTCTCACTGCAAAGCGTTGTTACATTACACCAAGTTGTTGCACCACATCAGTCTCTGTTTTGTTTACATCTGCCTCCCTCTGAAATCATGTGATGCATTCATGCTCCCTCTGGCACGATAATCTTGATAATATCCTGTAGTGTGCAATGCGCCATAATTTTCAAATCTTGTCCTGTGTGCATGTTTGAGATTAGAGAGGAGAGAGTCTCACTGTTAGATAGTGTTACTGAGTTTTTGATACAGTTTTTTTTAACTAAGCAAAACAATAAAAGAATTTCCAATTATAATGTCTTAGATCAGTGTTTCCCAGCTGTTCCAGCCACAGGGTCAAGATTTTTCTCCTTAGTCATTTGTTCAAGGTCCACACAGTTTAAAATATTCACCATCATACTTGTGTTTGGCCATGTCGTCCAGCTAGTTTGCTGTCTCTGTCAAGTAGCTGTCCTTTAGTCACTCACTCTACAGCAGGAAACACTTCAAAATAAAAGCTGTGTAGCAGAATTTTATTTATTTATTTTTTTTACAAACTTGTCATATTTGCAAGTCACTTGGGATCCATTTAGAATGGATCCACGACCCACTTTTAGACCACGACCCACCATTTGGGAACCACTGTCTTAAAGGTCTAGTGTGTAGGATGTAGTGGCCTCTAGCTGTGAGGCTGCAGATTGCACCCAATTCAAACTTCTCCTGTGAGCTAAGTGTGTAGGAGAACTACAGTGGCTGATGTGAAAATGTAAATGACCCTATCTAGAGCCAATGTTTGATTTGTCCATTCTGGGCTACTGTAACCAGCTTATGTAACATCATCTGCTGTACATGGATGATAAATTTAACACATGTAATGTAACTAAAATATACAACACTAATGATTTCGACAAACACAAAAAAATCCATAGCGTCCAACAGGAAGTAGAGATCAGTCCAATCCCATATTTAGATGCAGGTGTTGAACGATCTGATCAGATCAAGTCCAGAAACAGCAGATAAACAGTAATAATCAGTTTTTTTTTTTTTTTTTGTCAAAATCTATTTTATTGGGAAGGAAACCCAAAGCCCCATGCTCCATTACAAATAATATATCTTCCAAACAGACGGTAGCTTCTCTATATGAAGCTGTTTTACACCATCTGCTAACTTTGAACAAGGAGAACAGCATTAAACAGATCACACATAGTATTCTGTCAGATCAAAATTATAACATCATATGAATGAAAAAACATAAAGTTGCCAACAACATATATATCATACATAACACGATGTTTTTATCACATAAAAGAGGTACCAGATGAATAAGAGCAATCGACTCCTATAAGTCATACGACCATATTATGATGTGTTTTAAGACATCATGGCATGTCAAGAAAAGAACCTTCTCAAAAACATAATCATCACACTTTGATGTTGATGAAAGAGTGAGACGTCCTCAGTGTTTGGGAACATGATCTTAGTGAGAATATAACGACACAACACAGATGACTCACACACCTTGTGTATTGAGCCAGATATGTGTTTGCGTGCTCTCTCATGTCTCTATCTGTGTGTGAGTGTGTGTGTGTGTGTGTGTGTGTGTGTGTGTGTGTGTGTGTGTGTGTTGCTATGTGCTGCGCAGAGATTTGTAGAGAGGATGAATCCTGGCTGGAAAAGCTTCTCATCCGACGGGAGGCGTGAGCCAATTATTCAGACGGGAGGTAGAAGGCTGTGGTCAGTGTAAATCCACAGAGGCTGTGATGATGTGGCTAACGCAATGATCTGACCCGAGCTGGAAATTGGCAGCTCTGCCCAGACCTCTCCCAAAATAACTAAGTAAATGTCATCAGAATGCCGCTGCCGAGCACTGTGATGATTTGTTATTTTCAGAGGACACAGAGGTGATGTTTCTCATTAAAGATGAGAGGGCCATGAGAGTGTGGTGAGAAAGCTCAGAAGGTTAAAGAGGCAGCCCTTAAATCTTTGCTCATTAAGATCTGATGAAGGCTTTGTCGATACAGATCAGGGATAAAAGCAGTGGTGGGAAAGTAACCGAGTACATTTACTCTAGTACACAATCAGTGCCTTTACTTGCATGTTTTATCTGACAGCTGTAGTTACCTTGAGATTATAATTTGCTATAAAAATATATGAGGAATTTATGAAACTCAAGTGCATTGTTACAGATCAACCCTTTGAAACCTGTACTTTTAGGCTTGTCACATTTCAGATGGGTTGTTAGCAGTTCCACCAAAGAGACATGTCCCCTTGAAACATTGTTTAAATAACTGTTCGAGGCCCCAAAAGGTCAATTTAATAAATATTTAACAAAAACAAACCAAAGATCAATGAAGAGTCCAAAATCTATTTCATTTTTTAAAATTTTCCTTCTACCTCATTACCCTCTTGAGACCTGAGGTTTTGCTTGTCATGCGTTTTTAATTTCCCCTAGTTATTTGGGAGAAGTAGGACCTGATAAGTTTAAAAAATAAGCATTCTCTTTGAACACTAGGTAGTTTTTTAAATGAAAAATGTCTGCGTAGGGGGACAATAGGTTTATTTTTAATAGTCACAGGTGTGTTAAAGTATAAAACTGTTTATTTCAATGCCTGAACATTGTTGTGCAAAAATACAATTACCAACACTGTGACATTTGTTCAGTGTTTTGTTCCTCTAGGGGTTAGGGGTCCCTGTTCAAGTTTAAAACTGTTCAGAGCTGTTTATTTCGATGCCTGAAAATGGATGTATAAAAGCAACTGTATGAAAACTCTGTATGAATTTTCCTTTGCTCCATACTTCAGTCAATGAATGTCCTTCTGTCTGTAGGAACAGTCTGTAACACCTTACTGGCCTGTGTGAAATGATAATACACCAAATAAGTCCCAATGTTCCCAAACAAATACTTAATAAAAAACAGCGTTTTAGCCTGTTGCTGTCGCTGAAATTGGTCAGGTTTGTATCAAACTAAAAGTTTCAACCATAAATTTTGATCAGGCTTTGTACCTTTCCCCTTTTTGTGTTTGAATTGGCTGTGGACTGCCATCTTGTTTTTACAGGGATTAGTGTATTGTGCTTTTGCTACCACTAGATGGCAAATAAAAATGTCCACAAACGAGGATGACAGGTCTAACCCTTTGGGGTCAAGGGAAAAACTGGCCGTTTTTCTGACTACTTTTGATTTTACCTTTAAATTTCACCTTAAAAACTGTTTACCTTGCCTTGTTTGGTGTCTTTTTTTTTTTTCAGCACAAGCTCCCCTGTGTGACTTTATAGTTATTTTTTCATTTTGACATGCTGTATTAACACATTGGACACCACCAATAGGAAAGGGGGTGTCACGTTTTTTTTTTGCTTGCAAGAACCTTCTGCTTGTGAGCACTTTCCTTAGAATAGCCCACTTTTACCGTTTGTTCCTGCACCAAACACGCACCAAACGTGACTACAATATTCAGGAAAAAGCATGGCAAAAAGTATTTATCATAATAATCATCTTATCATAATCATGGTTTTACTCGGCCTATCAGCACAATTTAAAAATGCTATATAGTTTGAAGTTCGCACTTTCAACACAGGTTGAAACGGAGACTCAGCGATGCTGGGTCTTGCTGCTACATCATCTTAAATCGGTCATGTGATTTGGATGCACCGGCGCGTACGTTGACTCCATAATGTTAAGGGTCCATCCCAATACCCCTCCTTAGCCCTACCCCTTGGCCCTTCCCCTACATTTGCGTGTTCCCGCGAGGGGTAGGGGTGTCACAGTTCCTTTTTGCGTGTAAGGGTAGGGGGCCTAACGAGGGGTAGTGGGTATGAAACTAGCCCTTTGGAGCGAGGGATTTCAAATGTTGACTTGCCAGCGAGGGGTAGATGTCGCCATGGCTACCACCGAGAAAGAGACAGGGAAAAATGTTCATACATAGCTAGTTACCGTCGCCAGGTTGCTTGTTAGCTAGCTAGCTAGCTCGCACTATCTGGCGTCTGTCATCTGTCCTGTTCTGCAAAATTGTCGGATTTTTCACATTACGATAACACGCCAGCTAGTATAACTATGCTGCCTCATAATGTTAGCTGGTAGAAGTCCCCTGTCGTCTGTCGTTCATCAAACAAAGCATGATGAATACAGCAAACGAGATAGGTAGGATGAACTTAACCAGAGACTCCATTGTAGATGCTGGTTGGAAAAGTAGATGGCTCGCAGCTTCCTGTTTAAAATAGTTACGTATACATGAACGTAACCGACGCGTGACATAGTGAGTGGTGTCCCAATTCCTAGGGAAAGATTTCAACCTCTACCCCTCGTTGCTTCATTTCAAGGGCCAAGGGGTAGTGGGCAAGGGCTAGGGGTAGGGCCAAGGGCTAAGGGGTAGTGGACAAGGGGGGGTATTGGGATTGGGCCTAAGTTGAGCAAAATGTAGTACAAGGTGCAGCAAATCCATAAAGTAATTAAGCTTCACCTCCACCAGCTACACCAGTGTAATGCTGCTTACACTGATGCATCAATATAACAATCTGATAATATATTAACATATTACTCACAGAGAACATTTTTCTGTAGAACGCTTTTAAGTTCTTTTGGCACTTTTTTGCCAATAATACTTTTGTACTTTTACTTAAGGACTTTTACTTGTTGAGTTTTTTAACAGTGTTGCAGTGGTACTGTTACTTAAGTAAAGGAAATGAATACTTCATTCACCACTGGTTAAAATATCAGGTGTTGATTGCACAGTGAAAATATGGAGCAAAGCATAAGTCTGACCTGTTCAGAAATAAGGCTTTTAATGGGTGGTCACACCTCTTTTCCTCCTCCAGTACCTCCTCAGATTGCCACAAAGCCCCGAGACCAGATTGCCACCCAGGGGAGGAGCATCACCTTCCAATGCGGCACCACAGGAAACCCTCCACCTGCCATCTTCTGGCAGAAAGAGGGCAGCCAGGTAAGAGGCAGGGAGCAGGGAACAAGAGATCCTCTAATGCTGAATATTGCAGCAATATCTAGTACAGTAAATTCCTGTTTACAAATCACTGGATGAGTGCGTATGAATATATTTGCTCTTCAATAATCCTCAGGTTGTTTGTGTGTGGTTTGGGGATTTTTGTAAACTCATACTGTATTGTTTATCATATTTTAACAGGCAAAGTTTCACACCTTCTTTGTTTTAAAGGCGAGAAAGACTCAAGGCAACATGAACAGGTTTTGTCTGATTAAATCATACTTTTTCTGACACTTTTTTTCTTTGGTTGCCCACACTCCTCAAGACACATTTTTCCTAAGCGAAATCAGTGAGAGGCGAACAAGAGAGTGCAGCACATTTGCATTTGGCTCAGAGATATGACTAGAGACAAAGTGTTGGAAGGCATTGCGGTATTGCGTTGGCGAGAAATGTTTCTCCTGCTTGCGACCGCAGTGTAAGAGTCGTGTTGAGGGGAGGGGAGGGGTGGGGGTGAGGAAGTAGAAAAAAAGGAGGGAGAGGTAGCAGGAAGTACACCAGGTGTGGAAACTGCTTCTTCAGGGCAAACCTGCAGGCAAACACTGTCCTCCTTCCACATTGTACCCAACTATAAATACCCTGTTGCTCAACAGCAGCTGGGATCACTGACTTGAAGGAGCAGCTTCAGATGTTTTTAGAAGCTTGTCGGAGAGCAAACAGGAAGTTCAGCCACAGATTTTATGAATAAGCTTCCGTCTGCGGGACGGTTGAGGCATGGCTTGGCTGTTTGTGGAGCTTTTTGCTGTATTTGGGGGATTATCTGTAGCCTTATAACCTTGGTCCCTCCACCAAAGTCTAAGCCTCTTAGAGGAATGAAATGGATGGCTGAATGGATTGATGTGCATCCCTTCCCCCTTGTTCACATCCGTCTCACTTACAGAAAAAAACAGAATGGGACAGCAATAAAACGTCTGTCAGTGGGCATCATCCCAAAAAACACCAAAACAACACAGCTCTTCCAGTTTGTTTATGCCATGTTAGTGGTGGAGTCTGCCTGTCGGTCCACTATTTTAGTCCAAACTGAAGTTCCTTAACAACTGTTGGATGGATTGGCGCACAGTTTTGTAAAGGCAATTTTAGTTCCTAATGACTTTGGTGATACTCGAGCACCACCGCATAAGGGCATTTATTTTGGGTTAGTAGCTGAGAACAGTAGAATGACTGTAGTAAAAATCAACAGTAATAGAGAGCAAGAAAGCTCAGCTGATATTGGTGTATCAATACTGCGGAAAATAACTATTGAAACTGTGTCAAATATTCAAAATTAATATGTAGCTATCAATAGATCTAGCGCCACCAAGATGTTCACATTTGTGGTTTTCAATAAAATGTCTCAATAACTGCTGGACAGATTGCCATGAAATTTTGTGGGCTACTGCACACATCCCCTCACTTTTCACGTAGCCCCATTGTCAGGTCAAAATTTCAGTATGTCCAGTACTTTTATGACTAAATACTCAGTAACCCTGCCATCAGCTCCAGGTGCACTTTTTGTTTAGCAATTAGCAAATGCTAACATGCCAAACAAAGATGGTAAATTTGTACCTGCTAACAACACCATTAGCATTAGCACCATGCATGTATTAGGAGATTTGGATACAGCATTGGATATGGGCTAGTTGCTCAGTGGTTCCTGAGGCCAAAATGGTTCAACTGTTGCGTATCGGGGATTATTGGCGCTACTTCTGTACTGTGTGGCCCATAAATTACGGGCACTAGAGGTTTAGGGCGGCCGAGCTTTGCTGAGCATGACCGTGTGGCTAACTTGCGCCAGCTGAATGGCTAACTTCCGGTTTAGTCCTCCGCTAACTTGAATGGCGATAAAAAGATATAATATTGCAGCTCTTATAGACTTTCCAAATATTATTGGACTGAATGGATCAAATCCTGACAATGAAGCGTCATTTCGTGGGGGTTGTGATGCCTCTTTGCTAACGTAAATCTATGGGAAAAAGTGGACCACGGGGCATCATGTGACAGACCCCGGAAACTGCAGTACCACTGTTTGGCCACTATGAAAATTGGCTTCAATGTCTGGTGCACTTCCAGGTGACTTGATTGGCGTTGTGAGCATGTTAGCACTTAGACGTTAACATTTCACATAGCTCAGTGCAGCCATACAGAGCTACTTGCATGGCTGGTTGTTTGGCTATGTTTAGAAGTTGATGAAATGTGCCCCATAAACATCTAAAGTGTGTAGTGGTAAAACAGTCAATTAGTTCATTAACAGATAATTAATCTGCAACATTTTTGATAATCCATTAATTGTTAATATTTGCTGATTTTTATTGAACTTGTTTGAACAAAACAAGCATTTTGAAGATGCCATGGGCTCTGGAATATTGTGAAGGGCGTTTTTTATTGTATTCTGTCATTTTTAGACAGAAAATAATGACAGTAAATACAGTAAACAGACAGGGAAAATGATAAGCAGATTAATGAGTGGTAAAAATTTGTTTCAGCCTTAAAGTGTTAACAATTAGTCCATCAGCAAACCAACATAACCAGCAGTAATTCTGATAATTGATAAATCACTGAAGCAATCTGTCGTGCAAAGTGCCAACCTTGTTCTCGAATATGTTTCTTGTGTTGTCTCCATTTTATATCAGTGCAATTTGAAGATGCCACCTCAGGCTCTGGGGTATTTCGAAGGAATTTGTCACTGTTTCCTAACATTTTACTGACTAAATGATTATCTGATTGTTTAAAAAAAAACAGACACAGTATCACCTTAGTCTTACTTTCCATTCTGTTTTTGTCTTTGTGTTTAGATGTTGCTGTTCCCTGGCCAGCCACCGTCGCAGTCTGGCCGTTACTCTGTGTCCATGAGCGGCGAGCTGACCATCACTGACGTCCACCCCGAGGACTCTGGTTTCTACATCTGCCAGGCCATCAGTGTAGCAGGAAGTGTGCTGACCAAGGCACTGCTGGAGGTGGAGGGAGGTGAGACTTCAGTCCACACAGTCGCGTTTGAACCGGGGGGAGGTTTATTCTTTATTCTCTACTATCAGCTAATGAGTAGAAAACATATTAATTACTAAGTAGGTGCATAACAATAAGGCTCATAAAGACCAAGAGAGAACACAGTTAGAGACCCCATGCTGGATGAGCAATGATTTTCTGGCTTAATGCTCCTCCTCAGGCTGCTTGTAAGCACCAGATTTAAGCTTTTTTTTTTTTTTTTTTTTTTTTTTGCTTTTTATGCAGCCTATTATTTTCTGCCTACTAAGCATCTGAAGTATTTTCACCTCTTGCACTCCAACGGCTGGCAACTTTCTAATCTTATTTTCTATAGGCCTTTTGTACGCCTTCCACTGTATAGCTAATCAAAAGAGAGACATAATATTCTGCTTCCTCCGTCCTCAAACTGTTAGGTCCTTCAGGTCGTGTCCCGCCGATTATTCGCCAAGGTCCAGCCAATCAGACTGTATCTCGGGGTGCGACAGCGCAGCTGCACTGCCGTGTAATCGGAGGGCCCTCAGTCAAGATTGCATGGGAGAAGGATGGAGAGAGACTTCTGGGAAATAAACCCAGACTGACCTTGATGGAGAATGGCACTTTGCAAATCACAGACATAAAGGTGTGTATGTGTGCGTGTGTGTGTGTGTGTGTTAAGTGGGTGTCATTTATTGGAAAGGGCGTGAAAAGGATGAGTTTTGCTGTTGAACTGAAGGAAAAATTGACTGTCTGACTGATGGAAACTACAAAAAAACAGCACAGGATACTGTAAACCTTCCTGTCTGATCTCTGGACGTCTTTCTTTTTTTCTGCAGCCCATGTGGCAACTTTTTTTCCTTTTTCCATTATAAATTCCATTTTCATTCGCAAAATTAAGGTGAGACTGAGTTTCAAAGACCAATCTCTCTAAGGCAGTGCATATCTCACCAGCGCAATTATGTGCTCATGCGGTGTGTAATTGTAATGTTAATGAAGGTGCTTGTTTGTAAATGCTAATGTGTTCTGCTGTGATGGAGGAGCAGTTGGCAGCCCCTTTGTGCTATAACCCCACCTGGAGGTCAGCAAGTGCACGCAGGACGGGGCGAAAGCAGCATCGTTTTCATTAATTGACTGGCGATAGATGATTAATCATTTGACCGGCTTTTAATTAAATCTCCTGCCCCGACTGTGCTTATTCACTTCCTCCGTCGTCCTGTTTCTCCGGCTGTGGCGCACAGCAAACTTGGAGCATTAAGGTCTGGTCCAGTGCACCACAGAGGCTGGGGAAATCTGCCATGCCAGTGTGCTCAATGGAACAGAAGAGATGCATTAGTGTGGCATCAAGGGGATGACAAGGGGAAAAAAAGAAGAGGGGAAATGGAGATGACGAGTGAGGGACTAAAAATATTTACCCTGCTGATGCCCCTGCCTGGCATCAATATTTTAGCAGCAGTTGAAGTCATCTAAAGAAGTTCACCTGCCCACACGCTGTGCTGTCTGTCAGCCAGAGGTCAACACTGCGGTAGATGATCTCATACGGTCTGATGATGGTTCCAGCAGACTGGCTCTCAGCCAGGACAGGGCTGGAGCGAACACCAGGAGTGGCAGTGAACCATGAAGGCGTATACGGGTCATAATGTAAACAGGAGGGCAGGTAGAGTGGAGCGCGGTGTGGTGCCTCATGGTTGGTAGCTGTGGAGCTTTGAGAGCTGCTGAAGCTGAGGTGGAGACTACTGAGTGAGTTTAGACATGCGTGGAATACATCTGATTTCAAGAATGAAGGCATGCCAGTGGTCTAAAGAAGTATTTAGATCCTTTACTGTAAAGCTGCTATTTGATATTAACACTGGATCAAATGCCTACATGAAATGTAAAAGGTGTCGCTCACAGTAACAAACACAGAATTATCACCTGCACTTCCCCTCTGCTCTGCTGAGCTTTAGGGTGTCTGTCAGCTTAGTGCTAAGGTTTTATCACCCTTAAAGGGACAGTTCAACCCGTTATCATATCATATTCTTCCTTTTACCTGTAGTGCTATTTATCAGTCTGGATTTTTTCAGTGTGAGTTTTGGAGAAATTGGCAATAGAGATATCTGCCTTCTCTCCAGTGTCATGGAACTAGATGGCACTCTGGTTGTGGTGCCCAAAGCATCAAAAATACATTTAAGAAACTCAACAATGTTTCCTTCTGGAAATCATGATCTGGTTTCTTAAGGTAATCCACAGAGCTTGTTGTGAGCAGTTTCATGTGGGAACAATTTTCTTTCTACCAAACTACACCTGCCAACTGTATCACAGCGCAGAAGGAGCTAACTGGTACTAATTATAGGATAGTGTAGGATAGAGTGTTATTTAGAAGTGCGTAGCAGGTCAGCAGAACACGCAAAAATATGCTATATTATATTAAAATTAAAGGTTCCAATATTAAATAAATAATAAAAGACTAATTTCCTGTTGGTAAATGGAGAACCCTCTACTAGGACTGGACCTGAATGTTTGATTATTTAAATATTTATTTTTTGGATAGGTTTTTGGTTTTTAATTTTGGGATTCAAAGAATTTCTTTTCTTGTTTTTTCAAAAATAACAAAGAAATTTCAAATTCACTGCTGTTATTTTTTTTTTTTTTACTTTTTTGTCTTTATACTACTTAAAATGGGTAAAATCTAATTTCTTTGTGAAGCTGTATGCAGCATATCAATTCTCTCAGCACTTCCTTGCCCTGCTGTCTTTGCTTCTGTCTATCTCAGATTCGGAGTCTTCAATTATGAGCATTTATGTAGCTCTGTTTATTCATGATAAAAAATTGTCACATACTGATAATTTTGCCACAAAAAGTGCGCAGATAGGACCTCATCCAGAAACTAAACTATTTGGATTTTTTTTTAAATTAAGAAATAACAGGGCTGAAGCTTCGAATATTTTCTGTTGATTATTACCTACCCTGCGGAGCCAAAAAAAATTCAACTAGGGACAGCCATTCCTTCTGACTACTTAATGACATGAGATTATATTATCATTATTATGTTATATTGTGATGCATTAACTCGTAAGATACATGTTTATGTTGTGGCTACATTATACTACTTTAAAATAAATCTGCAAAGTTACTAGCACCTACGCCTGTAAGATAAGTTTAGTGGAGAAAGACATGCAGTATATCTCAATACTCAGAGTAAATATGTACTCTACTACTGCCAGACATATTGAGAATACGATGATTTTGCTGCAGACGTTCTTACTTCAAACATTCTTTCAGTCATCTAAATAGATCCAAACCATCCTTCAAAAATGTTCAAAATTGTTCTCTTTCCATGTTTTCTGGATGTCTGTCTCAAATGTTAACTGCCGTTCAACAGGACACTGACTCGGGGATGTACACGTGCGCGGTATCCAGTGCCACAGGGGAGTCGAGCTGGAGTGGGATGTTGACTGTCAGAGGTACTCACACCAAAACCCTCCACACTCTGTCTCTCTGTTACACTTCACACTCTGTCACTCTCACACTACACCTCCATGCTCAAGAAACTACACGCTCTGCCAATGTTCTTCATAAGAGCACAGTCTGCAGAACTCCGCTCCCGTTTCAGCCAGAATGTTCATCAGAGTCCATCTATTTTAGAGTGTTAATAGTTTTCATGTTTGTGTAACAGAGGACGGAGTGTCTCCTGTGTCCAGAGCGTCTGAGTTCATCCAACTTCCCGGGCCTCCGCAGAAGCCTGTGGTGACGGAGGTGACCAAAAACACAGTCACCCTCACCTGGCAGTCCAATCCTCATGAAGGCGGGGCCGCTGTCACCTCATATATCATCGAGGCCTTCAGGTACACAACGACAATTAACTAACACCTTAGTGTTCTTTAAGACCTTTAATTAAATCTGACCAGCACTAGAATGTGGAGCCAATCTATTGAAATATGTCAGGCATCAAAGATGTTTTCTCGATTGCAGTTATGGGAAAATGTCAAAGTATTTAGTTTTCTTGCCGAGAGTTAGATGAGGAGATTGATATCAGTCTCATACTTGTCTGGTAAATATGACTCTACGGTAGCACATTAGCTTAGCATGATGACAGCTAGCCTGGCTCTCTGCATAGTTCAAAAATCTGATGAAGGTGTGGCTTTACAGGGAGTAATATGCTGGTATCTGTAGCTATTTCGACTGTATCCATGCTCTCCTCTGTTTCTGTATTATTTTGTATTCTGACTATTCCCACATACCAAAGTCTTCTTCAATTAGAGTCATTAGAGTTTTGAAATGACTCATCCCAGCCTGAGGGAGAGACAGTTCTGTTAAGTGACGTACTGAAGTAAAACCGTGACACTCGCTGCATCAGTATTTAGCCGTGGCAATCCCGAGGAGAGCCATGGCAGCTCTAACAACCAACCAGAGGCTTTAGTGAGACAGACAAGTGAAAGAGACGAGTGAAAGAGAAGACAATTACTGCAGTGGTCAGCTCGGCAGCTCTGTCCTGTCCCGGGGCAAAGGAAGGAGGGGATGCTTGCCCAGTTGGAGAGTTCACTCATTACAGAAGCAGGAGAGAGGGTATAGACCGAGTGTACGGACACAAACACACACAAAGTCCAGTTAGCGCTGTGTGGGAAGAAGGCTCAGTGTGGCAGACTCGCACGCAGAGCCGATGATGAAGATCCACTCACTGTTGCACGCTCCACCACCTACCAATTGTTACGAAATGTTTGTTTTCAGGCTTCAACGGGAACAAAGAAAGAAGTACAAGCCAATATTTTCCTCTTATAGTATCCCCACTTGTATACAGTACATAACAACACTTACATTTCTGTTTTAATTTAAAAGAGAAGAAATCTTCAAGGAGGATTTATGTAAAAGAAGCCGCTGTTTCCACTCCAAACCCATTTTCACATGCAGCTTTAAAGAAAACAAGAAAAGCTGGACGACTCTATTTAAATGGCAAAGCAGTTTCTCTGAGGAACATTTGGTAAGAAACGTGGCAGAATTGGGAAACATTGATGATAGAAAAACGCTGTGGCCTGCTTGTTGTAATTACCTCGCCATTTTCCCCTCCACAGAGTTGAGGAAAATGTTAAATTGTGCTCACGCTGTTTGACAGTAACCCATCCCTGCACAGCATCGGGCTGTCGTATCCCCACAGGACCCATTCAGAGGCCATCGTTATAACCTGCTGGTAATAAAAAGAAGGAATAAAACTCGTCGTTGTATCTGTCCGCAAGCTGAGAGCAGCCCTGTGATGAACAAAATGTCATGCATCCAAGAAGCTGTTAAAAGCCACGGCGGTGTCAACAGCTGATTGTTTTCAGATTGCTTTGCATTTCTGACGCTGCACTGGTTATTTAAACCAATCATTCAACATCTTTTGTTCTCTTTCTTGCCAAGAGTTGGATGAGAAGATTAATTAACACTACCACATCTGTCCGATTTTTACACTTCAGTTTTTGTACAGAATAAACGAACACTGTGGCATTTGCTGTTGCTCAAGAGGTAGAAAACCTACAACTACCAGGATGCACTGCATTGCACCAGACTAATTAATGCTCCCACTGGTGGGTGACGAAATGCAAGCTTGGCCGTTTGACATTTCGGCCTTCGCCAGCTTGGTCGTTTGGAGCCAGAGGTGACCATATTTGGACAAGAAGATGGAGTTGTGGAGGAGCGAGGGGTGAATCTGACTAAGACCCAGAGGGGACACCTCACTCAGAGCACCCGTACCTTTAATTATGCGTAACTTTAAGCCTTAATTAGATGTAAACGGGTGAGTTATATCCTCCCGAGACCTTGTGTCCTCATATGAGGACATCACATTTTGGGTTTACTTGACCCTATACCACATTCTACCTAACTTATACCTGTGGCCTCATTTGTGGACACTTTATGACCCATCCAGTGGCCCTGGTGGAGCGTAGAGAAGACGATGAATCTTCGCTATCTAGAGGAGGAAAAGCCTTAGCAAGATTTCTGTCGGTGAACATGCAGAAAGATCATTTGCACAAGACACTAACCCATGTAAAAACAAAATGGCAGCCATCTCTGTCAAGTCAGTCTGCAGCTGATCCCGATACAAAAGTGGACAAGGTCCAAAACCTGATCACAGTTTATGGTTGAAATGTGTTTATTTCTGATTAATTATGCATGTAATTTGATATTGAATACAAATGTGACTAATTTTAGCAACAGTAATAAGCTAAGGCACTGTTAATTAGGGACATTTGGACTTAATTATTGTCTTGTAGGACTTTATTATTGTCTTGTTGAAGACATTGGGACTTAATTATTGTTGACAATGTTTAGTTTTTGATACTAATTGGGTCCTATTTATTCCAAATAACTAGGAGAAAAGAAAAATGTGTACCAAGCAAAAGTTCGAGTCTTAGGAGGATATAAAAATTCACCCATGTACAGTTTTCATAAATGGGGAAATTAGCTGTAGAGACCAAAACTGTATTCTCTTAAGTTGGGCATTTTAACATGGGTTCTCTATGGGGATTGGCTCGCTTCTGGAGCCACTCTCCAGTGGCCAGTAGAGGAACTGCAGTTTTTGGCATTTCAGCGTTTGCTTCATCTTTCCACCCTTGTGGTTGTGGCTTGGTCATTACCCCAAGATATCACACTTTGTTTTCCCGTAGTCACAAGATAGCAACAGATGATTATATCAGAATTAAAGTAACTAAATGCAGTTGCCATATTACATGTGATTTATCCGACATGTCAAATCAGTGACATCTCTTTCCCTGACATTGCCTGTTCCACTTTCATGTGCTATCAGGCTTTAATCAAACCCATTACCTTGTTATCTCAAGATAACACGATAATGGAGCTGCGCTCTCAAGATTACAGGAGTGAGAAAATGTTCACACTGAGTGCAGCACTTCTTCCAGATCTTGACCTTCGTGTGTGATACCACCATCTTACTTTCCCTCATGTCCTGAAATAAATATAATGATCAAATTCATTCTGTAAATCTCAGGTTCTTGGAAGATGGTAAATATTTTTATTGATTTCTTTTCCTTCAGCCAATCTGTGGGCAGCACCTGGCAAACAGTGGCGGACCACGTGAAGCAGGAGAGGCACACAGTTGTGGGACTCTTCCCCAACACTGTTTATCTCTTTATCGTCCGAGCAGTCAACTCTTACGGCCTCAGTGACCCCAGCCCGATCTCTGAGCCTGTCAGAACACAGGGTGAGTTATATAAGCAAAAGCTCATATTTTTCTGATTAGACCCTTGCATAATATGAGTCCCACTGTACTACTTTGATTTCAGTTTATATATTTAGAGAATAAAATTAGAGATACTGAAGCTGACACCAAGATAATGAGCTACATGGTTTAGAAAAACTTGCAATCTCAAAACTAATTGCTTTCTCAGTGTGATGCTTTTCTGCCTTGAGCAATGTTGAACTTCATCAAAAAGCTCTGCTTTTTTGTGCTGAATAGTTGCTATTCAGCTGTTTTTCCTGGGCCTGGATTCAATAGAGCTCTTTGTTGTTTCAGATGGGAGTCCTTCAGAGCAGGGTGTGGACCACAGACAGGTGCAGAGAGAGTTAGGAGAGGTGTCTGTCTACCTGCAGAAGCCCGTGGTTCTGTCTCCTACCAGTGCCAGGATTTCTTGGACTGTGAGTCGAATACTTGGCTGATGAAAATATCTGCTTTTCAAAGTCGGCTTGCAGTGTGCGGAGGACACGCTAATCTCCAAACATTAACTTCAAAAACTCCTCCAAACATTACGTGACACCAACAGATTAACTTGAAGTACAAACACAGCTGGTTCTGGCTTTCATCACCGATGTAAATGTGAAACTCTGTGTCTGTTTTAATTATTTATTTATTTGTGTCTCTATAACTTTTCTCAGGTGGCTCTTCAGTCCCGGTACGTTCAGGGTTATCGTGTATTTTACCGGACTATCGGCAGCTCCTGGTTGGTCCAGGATGTGGAGGCCACATCTGACCACAGCGTCATCTTGGTAGATCTGCACAGCAATACAGAGTATGAGGTCAAGATACGGCCTTATTTCAACGAGTTACAGGGACACGACAGCCTCATGGTTCTGCTGCGTACACCTGAGGAGGGTAAGAAATGCTCAACAATAACAACGTCAAAAGCATAGAACTGAAATTACTAGAGAAACAGCTGATGTTATTGTCCTGAAATGTATAGTTTAAAGCAGTGGTTCCCAACTGGTCCAGTCACAGGGTCCAGATTCATCCTTAGTCATTAGTACAAGGTCTGCACAGTTAATAATATATTCAGCGTCATACTTGCGTTCTGCCATGTTGTCAAACGAGTTTGCTGTCTCTGTCAAGTAGCTGTGCATTAGTCATTCACTCCACAGCAGGAGACAGCACTTCAAAATAAAAGCTCTGTGCCAGAAATTCAACGTACTTAAAAATAAAGTGTGTTCCACTCTCGCAAGTCACTTGCGGTCCTTTCAGAGTGGACCACAAACCACCTGTTGGGAACACTGGTTTAAAGTAGGTAACGCTCAAGTTTATAACCCTTAATTTCCTAACAGGTTCTTGTGTGTTTGTTTGTTTTATTTTGTTTTTGTTGTTGTTGTTTTATTGGGTTTTACATGAACATACAATTGTATCATCAGAGCTCTTATAAAAATTTAAAAAGGTGTAAGACCTATATTCTCTTCATACAGAGATATTATAAAAAGTGACAGCTGACATATTGCTAAACCCCCAAACAGCTTCCAAAGATTAAGAAAATTGAAACAACACAACCATAAAAATAAAGAGGGCTGTGGCTCAGAGGTAGAGCAGGTTGTCCACCAATCAGAAGATCAGCGGTTCGATCCCCAGCTCCTCCAGTCTGCATGTCGAGGTATCCTTGAGCAAGATATTGAACCCCAAACTGCTCCCGATGCTTCCATCGGTGTGTGAGTGTGTTAAAAACTGAGTAGCAGGTGGCACCTTGTATGGTAGCCTCGGCCACCAGTGTATGAATGTGTGTATGAATATGTGAGTGAATGGGTGAATATGACTCATAGTGTAAAAAGTGCTTTGAGTGGTTGAATGACTAGAAAAGTGCTATACAAAGGCAGCATATCACCCTTGCTACAACAAACATTCATGAAACCCGTCTGAACCACAAAGTTATCTTCTTAATGAACTGGAAAAAATGGACCCCATATTTTTCCAAATTTATTGGAGGAACCACATAATTAAATTTGGATTGTTTCCAGTCAAAAAAGGAAAGGAGGCCTCTCATCAAGTGGGTATGAGACTCTATTAATTATTACTATTCATTAACAATCGGGCATTATTACTCTTCTAGCCAGTGTGATGATAAAAGCTAAGGCATCTTTTTTGGATGCAAACAGAGAAGGCAATGAGGGGAGAACCTCAAACAGTCCGTTGAGAGCATTAGTTATCTCTAATATGGTATTAAAAATCTCCGTCCAATAAATTATGTAGGGATGGACAAAACCAAAACATCTGTTTAAGGTCTGCAGGAGATTGCTGAAACCTATCACAGGCAGGTGAAACATTGTCCATAATAGGTTCTTATTAATTTCCAAAATGTTTTCTTGAGCCAACTATGAGATTTGTGAAGTAACACAAAGACATTGTTTCATTGTTACACTTCAATTTCATTAATTTCCTAGCATAATTGGGAGAATCAGTGCACAGCAGGTCGGCTGAACATGCAAAACGTGACATATATTGAGAATAACATTTCCAATGATAAATAATGAATGAATATTTAATTGGATTTTAACTGAACCTTTCTTTCAAGGACACTCCTATTTTCCTGAATAGTAGTACCGAATTAAATAGTTCTTTCAAGGCAACCTCTCAGACATTATTAGGGAAATACTAACCTGTAAAACCCAGCGTTGCCATAACAATGATATCAGTTAATGGTAAAAGAAATATAATTTTTCCTCCTTATCTCTGTCTGCAGTTCTAAGTGCAGCTCCACAGGCTGTATCAGTGGTTCAGCTCACCAACAGCTCCAGTATCAGTGTGTCCTGGGAGCCTCCGCCTCACAATACTCAGAGCGGCATCATTCGAGAGTACAAGGTAAGAATACAGCTATCAGCGTATGACTCCATCCGACTCCTGAGACAACACCTGACTGTCTGTCTCTTTCGCTGATTGCTATTTCTGCTTTTAAACCCATCAATTGCTGACGCAGACGAAGGCTTCAAAAATAAAGTGGAAGAAACAGTTGTTTTAATCCATGATATATTTACGCAGTCATTACTCAGTGTTGTCCAATTTGTTGTTTAGATACTTATTATGAAAAACACTGATTTTAATTAACAATTAGTAATTACTCATGCCTCTTATCTGCTGCCAGTACATGTGCCGCTGCCGCTGAAAGAGACTCATCAGATTGAACACTGACTGTCCCTGTCATCTGTTTGCTCCATGAAAAAACACTGAGTTCTGATTATCTGTCTCTTAGTATGAGCACAACACTGATTACTAATCATCAGGCTGTTATTCCAGGCAAAGAAAAAAAGGGACACGCAGTTCTATTGTTTTGATTTATTCTTCCCATCTGTGCCTTCATGTAGAAAGTTAGTGAGAAAGCTGCACAAGTCTGATCATGAAATATCAGATCCTTTTGTGTGTGGAGGCTCATCAGCTGAAGGCAGGGATCACACTTAATCCCCTTAAACATTCAATTTGCTGAACATGGCACAGAGTGTTTTGTACGAGCCTCCTCATTGATTAAATGTTAAAAATTACATGGTGAATTTTTTATTTATTATTGTCTAAATATAGATGTACTCTCTGTCTCCTGCCCAGGAAACGTAGCGGTACCTGCTAACGTTATGTACATTAGCTTATAGCTAACTCTCCAACAGCTAAGGAGCTGTGCATTGTCCCTGTCACATAGAAAAAAACCTTCACAAAAAGTTTATTAATAAAAGGTTGATTTGTTGTACATTTTGCAGATCATACGGGAGGTGAAGAACATGTACTCAAATTGAGCATAGCGTTAGTTCAGGCAGGACACGATGTAGAGCTCCGCTCACATCACAGCTACATCGGTTGATCTCAAACAGCCCAATCAACTGATGGAGCAGAGTCATTTGATAGATCACAGATTCCTTTCCATGCAACCAATTCATTCAGGGCACCCTATTTAAACTGCTCTGGCCTGCCTACGGTTGCTGTTTCCTCTGCAAACTGCCTCCACCCCAGCTCCTTCTTTTAATGCTGTGTCTGACTTATCAATGTCATTTCTGTTTGTCATTGATGTTGGCTCCGTTCTGTTCCCCGGGGGTGGTCTTTGCTGCTGCTCTCCCTGCCTCAGGCTTTCCACGTAGGCGCATGAAAAAGGCTTTCTGCATTGGCCCAAGGAAAAGCAGAGGGGCCCCAGGACAGAGCCATATTGCCAAATATAATGCTGCAAATGGAAATAAAGTTTTCTTTGATTAAAGTGTTCCTGACTCAACTTGCACTGAGGCAAATATTGCGTACATTTATTAATAGCAATATTTGGCAAGTGCAGATAAAGTTTTTAGCTACAAAACAAACAGTATGCTCATTTAATAAAGTGTGATCCATTGATGTTGATTGAATTGGCCAAGAGTGTATGTAGTAGTTAAAACTAGCTCCATATCGACCAGCTGCAACATTAAAATGCTTCTTAGTCTGCGCAAGCACTTTTATTCTGAGACTTAAAGTACATTTTACTGTTGATTTTGTATATTTAAAGTGAGACTGTGAAGCTTTTGACCGAAGAGGTAACCACCAATGCTGACTCACTACTGCTACTGCTGCTGCTGCCGCTTCCTCTGCTTTTCTTATTCAGAGTCCAAACATGGCTCCAAGGTCAAAATGGTATTTAATGTCTTGCTTGGGCCCACTCACCAATACCCGGGGTGTTTTCTCCCTGTTTTGGCATTGCATGCTTCTTACCTAATCCAGGGAGCATCCTGAGAGCAGAGCCCTTTGTGCTAAACATAACTGTATTTTCATTTGTTGCAATAAATGGTTAAATCTATGACAAGAGTGTTTCTGACTGAACAAACATTAGTAAACTTTGGATAGATACTGCTGTATGACAAAAATCACTGAGTCAGTTGACTGATGATGCTGATTTTCCTGTAACAGTAACTAGGGATGGGAATTGATAAGATTTTATTGAAAGCAATGACGTTATCAATTCGGTTTGATGTTTATTGGTTTGATTTTTTATTGATTCCTGATCAATTTTCTGTGTGGGAAACAAATTAGGCCTACTCTGAGTCTGGACGCGATGTAATGAGATGAATTGCGAGAATATTTGTACAGCACTTGTTTTCATTTTCAGTTCACTTAGGTTTCTTAGTCAAAGAAAAAATCCACTAAACCTGAAATAGGATATTTACCATCAGCAGTGAACATGCTGCTTGGTTGAGAAGCAACAATGCTTGTATGTAATGTCATATATATGGCATTCCTGGAAGTAAAGCTCATGTTGTGTAGACGAAATGTTTCAGCATATCGCTGGTGTTTCCTCCCTGACTTCTAACAGTCATTTTGCATGAATGATTTTGAAGCCACCCTTTGGACCGTGTCTTTCTCTCCGTTATTTTTTCTGTTTCTGATGTCATTATTTTTGCAATGCGCAACTGTCAGAAAACTGTGCCAACATCGATAAAAGCAACTGTTAAGCTTGGACGCATATGATTCCTATTTGAAACGGGTTCTCAACTGGAACTGCTTTTCAGTATTGAGTTACATAGAGTCGTGTTGATGCAAGTACAATTCTGGTCAAAAAATATTAAAGCAGGACTTTTACTTACAAAAGAGTATTTTGTAATTGTGATGTTACTTTTACAGAAGAAATCTGAAGATTTCTTACATCTTACATTTCTCATAAATCCAACTTGCATGAACCTTCATGGGAGAGTACGACGTCGAACACATAAAGCGGGGCACGTACATTTGTAATATCAGGATTTTAAATCTGGCTTTTAACTGTCATTGCATTGACATCCTTTTCTCTTTCATCTCCGCTGTATCTCTGCAGTCATTCTCCACTGCGAACTACCAGATAAAGCTTCAGTGTCAAAAAATGAAAAGCAGCTTTTTATCTGGAGTCTGTCTTATTATAATAACATGCCCCGTCTTGTCACGGGCTGTGCAGGATAAATGAATATCTTCATGTGTTTACATGATTCAAACATTAACCCTCTGTGTCTGGTGTCTGTCAGGTCTGGTGTCTGGGTAGCAGCATGGAGCAGGAGACCCAGATAAACCGAACAGTGGATGGGGCCGTTCTGTCCATCTTGCTGACGGGCCTGCTGCCTGACGTCCGCTACACTGTGATGGTGGCTGCTGTCACCAGTCTGGGTGTGGGCGCTCAGAGCCCACCTGTCAGCCTGCTCCTCAGTGAGTCAATCAAACTGTTGCAGCCACAACAGATAAGGAAATACGAGCAAGATGCGCTCTTAGCAGGCTCAGTTCACCACAAATAAAATCTGTATAGTTAATTATACTGTGTGAATGACCTTACCAAAGAGTCATCATCAACATTGAAGCTCTGAGTGTGAAAATCTTAAGTGGAATTCATAGTGAAGTAGAGAAGTTTATTTAAACTGTCATAAATACATTTAGCATTTAGTGACTAACAAACACAAGTTTGCAACAAATCTCTTCTTTATCTGAGCTCTCTTTTCAAAATAAAACGTCTTCTCAGATCCACAGCCAGTTATCCAGACAAGCTGTAGCCCAGAGGAGGTGTGTTGTATTTGGTGTTTTCTGGGAGGACTAGAAACACACTTATTCAATCTCCTGCCGAGAGTTAGATGAGATGACTGATACCACTTTCATGTCCATACAGTAAATATGAAGCCACAGCCAGCAGCTGGTTATCTTAGCCTAGCATAGAGCCTGGAAACAGCAGGACACAGCTAGCTTGGCTTTGTCCAGAGGTAACAAAATCCCCCAACCAGCGCCTCTAAAGCTCAGTAATCAACATAACCCATACTACAACACAATTGTAAAAACAAGTTTGACTTTATTGAGGGTTATGTGCCACAAGTCTAGTGCCCCATAACGCCTTGTTGAGGTTTTACAGGTATATTTTGTTACTTTGGAAAGAGTCAGGCTAGCTGTTTCCCTCTGTTTCCAGTCTTTATGCTAAGCTAAGTTGAATAGCAGCTTCATATCCTCCTGGGTCCTGACAATTCATTTTTGTCCTCTGTGGAGGACATTAGTCTAACTAGTATAACTCAAGTATTCTTTATGCTATACATTTGGGTCAAATTGTGTTCTGAAGAGGACATCCAGGGCTTTCTAATGATGTAGGCATTATGTGGGTGGGGTTAACAGGGCAAACACACACCCTTTTCAAAATGGCTGCCATTACGTTTTTCTCGTTTTTTGCTGCCAGAGTGGTAATTGATCATTTTTTGGCAAAAGTTATGATTATTTTGTTAATATTTAATTTGTTTCCTGAATATAAGGGTCTTAACTTTAATTTAGAGAGATTTCAGAAATCCAGAGTAATTTTAACCTTTTCAAAATACACCTTTTATTCAATGTCCTCTGTAGAGGACATCAGGACTTAGTACCCCCTGTCTTTTACCCAATTTCTATGATTCAGCAGGCAGAAGGCCATTAAGGGGAATGACAGTTTTTTCTCATAATTTCTAATACATTTTAAAGGTTAGTCAGTGTGAAAGCAGAAATTTGGCTTGGAGTGAGACTCTGAAGTAATGTGTATGCAAGAATTTATTGGAAAAAAAGAACACCTTAGGTGAACGAACATTCCCATGCATCTATGATAGGATACTACCTTAAAGGAGGATTTCGAGAAACTTCTTGCTCTATTTCCTTTAAACAATGACAATTCTTGCTGAGAGTGTATTCACACATACAATAGTCAACACTCTACCTTGCTACAGCTATCCATCATAGTATTAAGCATTGAAGACAGCCACATAATAATTCCAGGGGAGTAAAAGTCCTTTGTAGCTCATTTATTTAGAGATAAAGCATAAAATACCCCATAGTCCCATTGTAACTCAATTGAAACTCATTGACTAACTCTGGAAATTTAAGACCTGACGTCCCAATGTCCTCTACAGAGGACATGTGATAAAAAATAATTGAATTTTTTTTTTATGCAAAATGTTTCTTTCAAGTCTAATACTTAAATTACATAAAACAAATCTTGATATCAAAACTTTTTTCTTCTGGGTCCCAGGAGGATATTGAACTAAGGGCCCTGACACACCCATCTGACGGCTGGCAGTAGTCAGCCCTTGTTGGATGTTTTTCGGCTGATTCAGCATATTGAATCGGTGTCAGAACCGGCAGAGCCTGTTAGTGAATGGAATCACTCTGATTGGCAGCTCAGTTCTGTGGACGATGAGAGAAACGGAAGTGAGGAAAGTAAACAAACAAATTAAATGGACGGGTGTGAATTTGAAACAAAGTTGTTATCTTAGGTAAGATTATTTTTTCTCGCCAATGAGCTCTTGAGCAGAAGTGGTTCTTAATTATTTGTAAATATATTTTGTTCTTTTAACACTGTGTTGTGTTTTTAATGTGCTAATTAGCTAACTAGAGCCTTGAATCCTTCCTGTCAGTCTTGCGGTTTCTCTCCTCTCACTCAGGCACAAACGTACCTGCTAATTGGCCATTAGTGGTGTGTTTAAGTGCAGCTTTTTGGCCAAAACACAGGCGTCGTGAGGTGACAAAACAGTCTGCCTTCCTCCCTACTAGCTCTTTGATGTCAGTTTAGTGCGACTGGGCCTTAACAGACCTTAGAGTGGCATCAGGCTTCTCATCTAACTCTTGACAAGAAAACAAATAAGTGTATTTCTCAAAACTGACACTGGATCATTTAGATCTTCCTGTTTCCGTAGATGAAACAGGAAGGAAAAAAAAACACTAAGAAATATGCCTTTACACAATAAAGATGCCAACAGCTCTCTACTTTGTCCCTAACTTTGCTACTTCTCTTTCAGCTCCTCCATTGGACAACACGTCAACGCCTAAAAAGAAAGGCGGTAACCTCAGCATATCAGAGCAGATCACAGGCGTCATCCGCCAGCCGGCCTTCATCGCAGGGCTGGGTGTGGCTGCATGGTTGGTGCTGATGGGCTTCAGTGGTTGGCTGTACTGTCGACACCGCAGGAGGAAGCAGCTGGGACATTACACCACCTCCTTCGCATACACACCAGCAGGTAAGTGGAAAAAGCTTATCTCATCTTAACTAGGTTTCAGCATCATGACAGGTGTTGGGTGTTCAAAGTATTAAGTGTAAAATATCAGTAAATTGAATTTCTGGAATTTGACATTTGTGGAGATTTGCAGCGGCATTAGATTTTTTCGATGTCAGGAAGATTTCCCCTTATGGAATGAACTGTAAAAAGCGGGAAAGGCTACAGTGACATGACCCAGAATGGTTTTCCGACACCTTCAGATGCACTCTGTCACATCTTATTCATTATAAATCTCTTGTCCATGAAAAGGGGAAGTCACGGAGGAGAAAGCCTTCAGTTGTTGTACAGCAAACCGTCAGATTTTAAGTGACAAGTTCCTAATAGACCGCCGGGGATATCTCCCGCACTGATGAATGTTTTCAATTTTAGTTTGTGTTCACTGGCACTGCATATTCAGTTAATTAAAATGTATTTATCCCCACTGGGCAGTCTTCATGGCAGGAGTAAAGGAAAACACCAAAGACACACTGAAGCATAAACAGTAACTACTGTATGCAGTTTATTTTAGATTTTTATGCCCTTTGGCACGTAAGCATATAAACACATCAGTTGTTTTCTGACTTTGAGAGATATTCGTCCATGTTCATAAATACTCAATGGACAGCCCAAAGCTTTAACAAAAAGCAATTTGATTTCTCCGTAAATATTTCACAGTGACTATTATTGCCATACTAATGACTAAAGATTATTTTGCTTCACATTTTAGTATGGAGTTTAGTAGCATCTTGTTTATTTAGATGCCACAGACTTGAGATACAAGCAAAAAAAACAGCTTCATTGATTCCTTAAATAACATTTGCATTTTTATGGATTGCAGGCGTAATGTATGAAGATGTGTCTGTGTAGGTTAACAGTATATCTTCATGACATATCGATTCAAATCTGCACTCTTAAACCCTGTGCTGTATAACCTTTAGTTTTATAGGAATGGAACATGATTCATTTCCAAATGTATTCATGCTCCAGTTAAACTTTCGTGTTATGAATTTGAATGTATTTATTTATTCGACGAGGGCGATGCATTTAACATAGGTCCAGTACAGAGCATGAAACTGATGTGCTGCACAGAGAGTTTATAGCAGCTGGTAATTTGCAACTCTTATCCCTAGCTGGGCTTTTACCTGTACAGTGTAATTAATATAAACAGCTTTCAGTTTTAAAACAAAACACAATATATCATGAATATGAAAATACAATAATATACACATCACACAGTATTAGGGCTTTCAAGCGATTGAAAAAATGAATTTAATAATTACATGCTCTGTGAGGGAGTAATCTAAATTAATTGTATACATCAATTTTTGCTGTGATAGTATTTGAAAAATAAATTCAATTCAACTGGATTTTGGCAGATGTGTCGTAGTAAAGCTGCTGGATTTTGGACATAATTGTCCCCCCTATCCTCTACCACCAAATCTGGTCTGCAGTCCATTGCATTCTATTTTGAGCTAGTTAGTTGGTCACAGGTAGACTTACTCAGTTTACATCTGAATGCCTGGTCAAATGTGGCTTGACGAGGCTGGCTGCTAGCACTAGCATAAGAGGCTGTGCTAGCTTGGATCTCTGCATTCACGCGCTTCGCGTTGAGGTGATATTTCAGCCTTAAAGTACTTTGATCGTACGACAATCTCTTACTGCAGAAATTGCAGAGAACAGTGCACCTGTCAACAGTTCCATCTGGGCATTTTTTAAATGTAAATGTTCCATTCACTGGGCCAAGCAGCATCACTTTGGCCTTCAGTAATGCACCGGGTCAAAGGGCACCACGGACATGATTAATCAGTGTTCATTTGTCTGACCTGTTATTTTTTCTGTGATAAATTAATCAAAATTAATGCATTATTTTGGCAGCCCTACACAGTAGACATAGCACCATATGCTAACACACATACAACATATAGCAATACACCATTTATTTTACAGTTGGTTAAAAATGCATACAGCTCTGATTTGCCTTTATCCAGCACATAACCTTTGTGTTGAAGGCTTTTATATCTTGAATTAATTTACCAAATTCCAGTTGGTAAAGTGTTCCAGAGTTGACAGCCCTTCATGGAAAAAGCGCACTGATCAAATTTAGATCCATAATATGATATTTTACAGTTGCCATTCACCAGGCTCCTAGTTACTGTTGCCATCATGTCTTTGGAAAGACAAAAACTTTATCTTTTCTGCTGTAACTGAGTAACTGAGAGCTTTTTCTTCTTCCAGTTGGCTTTGCTCACAGTGAAGGATCTGGAATCATCAATGGAGGGTAAACTGAAGATTATGATTTGATTCAGATAATGTTTGTGTACTTGATGAGCAAAGCATTGACATAATCTCACCTCTCTTCCCAGGCCTGGCTTGTTAGGATCCAATATGGGGAACTACCCCTGGCTGGCCGACTCTTGGCCCACTCCGAACCTCACTCACAGCAGCAAAGACTCTGTCAACTGCTGCTCTGGCAAACTGGACTCAGACAGATATTATAACAGTAAGAGCTCTCTCACTGTGACTGTTTGGTTGGATGACTCATTTCTGAATACCTAATATATCATTTTAATTGTTAATGAACTTTTGCTGCTCAGCAGTCGGCATCATGAACTACCAGAACCAGTCAGAGAAACACAGCACGGCGTCAAACGACAGTCCCATCTACAGCACCATCAACACAGCCGCTGAGGACGACCTGCTGGCGTACTACGACACCTACTCCAGTACATCATACAACCAGGGTCCAGACCCGTACAGCAGCAACCCAGTACTGTCAAACATTGGCCTTGCGGGTCTGGAGCAAGACCTGGACCAGTGGACCATCCAGTCTGGTCAGTCTGGGTCTGAATATGCCAAGCTTCAGTACACCAAGAAAAGCAACGGTGAGGGCTTTCTTCCTCTATGATCCATGTTAATTTCAAAAAACAGTGAAACGTGTGATAACATCTCAGCTGATCTGATACAGTGTGAATGTGTAATTGCATTTCTTATGTAATGGCGACTTTACAAAGGAAACCCAAACTCTGTGTTTGCATCTTTGTATCCATATTTCAAGTTTATAATCAGTTTTGGCCAACTTAGTTTCATCTGGGCCTTACTGTGTAATGTGGCATGAAGCTTTTGAGTATTGTTGCCATGGTTACCTGCAGATAATGACACTATGCACAATGATTTTGAGCAGTGGTTTTAGTGTTTGATGCATGTTGAGACACAGCTTTTATGTCTGCCAAACAGATTGTGACCATGGTGTAAATTTATATGGCGCAGCTCAAATAAGAGGCAGGTTGTGGCGCGGCACCTGCAACAGTGTTGTTAGATGTAGGCTTGATTTCAAATGGATAAAGCATGCTTCCTGTCTTGCATCTTCTTTTAATGATAAATAGAAATACAATGTACACTTCACATCAAACGCCACAAATGAAAAATGAAATATGGATTTTTTGCACAATAAAAAAAAAATGGAAATGCTAGAAAAGTGCAGACACATCTAAATAATGCAGGTGGAAAGCTTTGTATCGCAACAATGTGAGTAGTACATGTAAATTAATTGTGGTAAACTTCCCACTGTCACCCAGATCTCACTGCTCATCTCTTAACTTGGATCAAAATGTCGTTGCTTGAACTACAGACTATAATTCCACAAAGAGTATACATGACTTCAACGGGACTACAACGGGTCGCGCGCCGGTGACGTCATAGTTGATAGAAATATGGGATTTTGACTGGCGGCAGAGCTCTTCACGGGAACTGCCCATTGTTCCGACCATTTCCAACGAGAAAGTGAAAATGATGAGGTGTGTGCCCTTTTTAGCTGCCAGCCTCTGTGTGGACGAATGACCCTGTCAATTCATTCATTCATTCAATTCATGTCCTGTCGATTCATGACTTAACATTCATTAGAATTAACTTCTTGGCTTTGAATATCTCATGTTATTGTTGAGATCAACTGAAATTAGCTAGCTAGCTAACGTTAGCCAACTAACCTGTGATGAAGTGCCTGCTACAGACGTAGGTGTAGTGACCACAGATTTCTTCTTTCCAACATTCTTCACTCTATCCAGGAGGAAAGCAGTTCTGTTTTTTTTTAATTTTTTTTTTATTTTTTATTGTTTGTTGTGCAGTGAACAACGCAGCAACTTTTCGGCATTATGAACTCCAAGCCGCGACTAGCGTCTCTCCCGGGTTGAGTTCAAAACTTTCACCTAAAAGGGGGCGTGGCCGTTGTGACAGCATTGAGTGACGTTGCATTGAAGTCATGTATAGAATTGGGTTGAGAGACCCGCCCCCTTCTCTCTCAATCTCTTGTGCTCGTCAACTGTAAACCAAGTTGTTACTGTTTTTCCTATTTCTCACCTAAAATGTCTTCAGGAACTTATTTGAGCTCACACATTAATTGTAATTTAAGGCCATTTGTTTCGAGTTGTCTACCATATTGTTCCCTGTGGAAAAACGTCTGTAACGTCTTACATTACCCACCAACAGAAGCGTTTATTGGTCTGGTGCGGCGCAGTGCATTCTGGTAGCTGTAGGTTTTCTACCTCTTGAGCAAAAGCAAATGCCACTGCCCTTTTTCTCTTTTTCTCTGGCCACTTGGCACCATTTCTGAAAGTCTCTGCGTCTTGCACATTCAGCCCAATTTTATAAAAAAGATAATCTCTCCAGCAGTGAAATACTTTAAGGCCAATTTGCACAATTATCAGAGACAAGTTGCTCCTCATTGTACTGTGCCTCTGCTCTAGAAAGACCAAAAAATTAAGTACATACAGTTTGGCAACAGGAACATTAAAAATGATGTGTATGCATGGGAATAAGTGAGACAAATTCATTCATTAAAATAATGTAATGAAGTGCAATAAAGTAGCAGTTACAGAAGAGTAATTGACGATCTAATCTTATTTATGTGCCTTTTCATATTAAGTTTTCAATCTCGTCTTAATGCCTTTGTATACCCCATAGAAAGCACTTTGGATTGCCTTGTTGTTGTTGACAGGTACGACTGTATACCAATGAACTTTAAGATATAAATGGAAACATGCAGGATATAAGAATGTAAAGGAGTGCAGAGGCTAAGTGCTCAATCAGTTTCACATGCAGATGTTCAAGGGAACATTAAGGGGCTCTTAAATATGAAAACACTGGTCAACATAAAGAAATGTTCTTCAGGCACTCAAAAGCAGAGAAGCCTGTTGAGCATATTCAGGGCTTCAACCACAGGGTCAGGGTGGAGATAATTAAAAACACAGTGACTAATCTTGTACGCAATATGACATATCGTGTTTTGTCTTCATAGACAAACTGGTAAAGCAGAGGTCCGCTGGGTCCTCTTCCAGGTCAGCTCCTCTCACCTGGGTGGATGTTCTGTCGCTTCCTCTTCCTGCCAACAAAGACAAAGGTCACACGAAGACCGACAAAGAAGAAGAGCAACACAGGTGAGACTTATTTAGACTTATTTAACTTGTACATCAAGGCACCCTTTTTCCCTCTTGTAAGAACACAATTGCTCTTTGTACTGTCTAATACTGAGTTTATTTATAGCATCAAGGCCTCTGACTTTACCTACATGACAGAGAGAGTTAAGGCAGATGGATATCAAACCTGCCCTGTAACTCTGCCAAGGCTGTCAAACAAAACTTGAGTGAAGTTTGGAGTCTGGGGAGTTTTCGAATTAACAACAGTTGTGTCTGCAGGCAGTGAGTAGATTGAGCTGTGGGGATTCAGAGGGGAGCGTCTCCTCTAACTAGTTCTGACAGATTAGATTGCGGACATAACGGGGTGGGATCGGAGGGCTGTTCTGACTGTGCCGTGTCTTTTGTAATGACATTAGCCACCATCTGACAGTCTGGATTAGTACTTTCCGTTTTCAATGACACGTCCATCATTAAATTAGCCCTGACGGCGGTGAAGTGACAACACAAATCACTGAGGTGGTTCTCTCTGACTCTACATGCATTTCTATTTTCAAACGAACTTGGAAATAGATTCGTTTTTAACTATTATTTCTTTACCTGTCTGTATTTTCTTATATATAGTAGTATTTTATGTCTCTGTGAATAGAAGTGATGGATTATCTGTCCACCACTTTGGTCCTGACTAAAATTTGACATTGCCATAAAATTAGGTACAGACACTCACATCCCTAACACTGATTTAGACTTTCGAATGATTACTGGACCAAAAGAATCAAATAACGATAGTAGTAGTAATATCAGTGATATTAAATGTATCCAGGGATTTACAGACGTCTCCCCTTCACAATGTAAGTCTATGTGAAAAGGTCTTTTTGGGCCCAATGGCATCACAAGATGGAGTTTGGCAGTTTGGCAACTATGTCAGATTGACTTCAAAGCCTAACACTGTTCCTGAAGGTTCCTCAAACCAAATGGTGACATCACGATGGCTACATCCACTTCTTTTAAATGGTCTATGGTGATTAGTGCTAATTAGCAAATGTTGCTAATACGCTTAATTAACTAATGTTCACATTAGCATTTAGCTCAAAGCACCTCTGTGTTCACATAGCTGCTAGCATGGCTATGAACTTGTTTTACTTACAGTCTCTTGCTCAGTCCCCCCCCCCCGAGACACATACACTCATGCTGCTGTTACTCACTGTCCGTCCTCCAGCTCTGAGGAGGAAGATGACAACTGGTGTCCTCCACTGCCAGCCAGAACCTACCTGATGGACGCTTCCAGGGAGGAACTCTCCAGCCTGCCCTGCAAACCAGATGAGCTGTCCTGTGCAGCAACACTGATGTCTTCCTCCAAGCGAGACACTCACAAGCCCGGCGAAAGTCCACGGCTTCAGCACTTTGACCTCTTGCCGCGTCAGCAGTCAGGTTCCCAGGTCTCCCAGTCCAACCCAGATCTGTTTACCAGCACCAAAGTCCGTGTGGCCGACGAGGTGTACCACACCAGCCAATGGGCAGAAGATTTCAAGGGGGAAAGCCTCGGAAAAGGTCGGTTCATATCCAGTTTAAAGCCTCACATCTTTGGAAGTGACTTCCCGAGAGGCGGCCACAACCACACAGTGTCATGTATAATTTAATTTATGATGTTACCCAGCAGAAAGTATTTGTACGTGAAACTCGTGTCACATTTATTCAAAGTGCAGCTCAGTGTTCTTTGGTTTCCTCTAAGTTTCCTGAGGTTGACATCAGTGTGCTTTCTTGTCAGGACAATCTCCTGCTCCAGCTGCCGAGTCGAGCCCCGCAGCCCAGGCACACAGATCCAGGAGTAAGAAGAAGACACCCAAGGATGGACAGCTCAGGCGAGAGCTACACAACCAAGCAGGTATGACACATTGTTTGTAACACATCTAACTTCAGCTTTGGTTTGGGGAAAAAAGAAACAGCAACATTTCTGTTCATAAGATTTGAGCACTAGCAGCATGGCTTTATGGATTGCAATATCAGTCTGGTAGTCCACTACTTTGGTTCTGACTGAAATATCTCAACAGTCATCAGATGGGCTGCAGTTTAATTTAGTACATGCAACTATGTCCCCTCAGGCTGAAATGTACTGACTTTGGTGATCCCTTAACTTTTCATCTAGTTAAGTCAAGTTAAAATTTGCTTTATATCCCATCAGCCCCAGCTGTACTTTGTGATTAGTACTAATCAGGAAATATTAGCATGCTAACACGCTAAGCTGTGATGGTTATCATGGTAAACATTGTACCTTCATGTTAGCATTGTAATCGTGAGCATTTTAGCTTGCTGGTTTTAGCATTCAGCTTAGTATTACAGGCATGGCTGTAGACTACCTAAATGTAAAATAATTCAGCTTGCATTATTTGTGGTCTAATCATTTTAACTATGTCGTATTTTTAATGTCAAAGAATGCTCAAGGAAAAGTTTGACATTTTGGGAAATGTGCCTATTTGCTTTCTTACCAAGAGTTTCAAGCGGTGTTGTGTGCCACACTCTTTCTTGGCCAGGACCAGAAACATCCTGGAGTCTTCACCGGTTGCTTGGCAACTGGTCATGGCCAAGGACTACTAACTATAAAGCATTTTTCACCCACTCTGAAAAGCACACCTTGGTTAAGATGACACTTCTCCAAATCCTGGATAATGGCGACTTAATTTACAGGTTTGCCTTGAAAAATCATCCACCGTAGTGCTGTTAGCTTTGACAGCGAAGCCCCTTTCAACACAAATTAGTGTTACCTATATTCTCTAGTCAGCTGGCCATCACTATCCATATCCATTGGTATCAGTTCATTCATGAAACTGTCATTGATAAAACCCTGTTTATCTCTGCTCACTACATAATATCTCCAACGGTAAATGCAATTACTTTCTAGCAAATTTATTTTATGGCAATCACCCTGAAGTCCGTACCTCTTTTGGCTGTCACTCATTCTGTTGTGTGTTCCAGAGCCCACACATCCATACTATTTAATATGAAAAAGATGTAGTGCTGTCTCAATACATAGTATGTTAAATGCAGTATGCCAAAAATACCAGGATTTTCTATACTTTGCAGTGTAGAATCCAGCATGCCTCTCTGGCTAATTGGACCTGAAATCCTCTGTGCAGCAGAAGATACCTCACATTAACTAAGCTGCAAACAGATGACAGTTTGAGAGCTAGTTGACAGCTGTCAGAAGCCGCAACGACGACTGACAGCGCATTCAACTGACTGATGACCAGAGGAATAGTAATAATAGGAATATTAATTCTTTAAGTAAGCAAAAAAAATGACAGTAGTTACCAACAACAAAAGGACATAACTATGAAAGTAACAACAGAGAAATGCATTTGTACATTGCAAAGTAACAACAGCAGAGTTCTCTGGGTATCACTTAGCCAATCGTTAATTTATTGCACGAGCTGCATCTATGCTTCTATGTCTTGTATCAGCTTGCCTCCTGTCGCTGCCTCTTGGTGAGTTTGTTACTGTAAATGAGAATTGGTTTTCAATTGACGCATCTAGTTAAATTAAGGTAAAACAAAAATAAATGAAATACTTTTGGCACATAACCCCCAGTAAAATGTCCAGTTGTCATTTTCAATCTGCGTCTTTTGTACGTAATAAACAGATATAGTTCAGAATGTTATTTAGAGCTTGAGAGATTCTTGAAGTTGGTTTTGTTACTTTTGGACAGCACCAGGCTAGCTGTTTCTCCCTGTTTCCAGGCCTTATGTCAAGCTAAGATAATCAACTGCTGGCTGTAACGTCATATTTAACGCAGAGACATAAAGGTGGTATCAATGTTCTCATCTAACCCTTGGCACGAAAGCAAATAAATGTATTTCTAAAAAGTTGAACTGTTCCTTTAAAGCATCATGTCTGTCTGTAGTTTATTAATCAGCACTGATCAATCATATGCAGAACTTCCCCCTCCACCAGCCCCTCCTCCTGCAGATGACTCCCTGCAGCTCTTGGCTGACGTTTTGAGCCGCAGCCGAACAGATGCTGAAAGAAAAGAGGGGAGCGACTCGCCCACTCTTCAGAGGAGGGGAGAACATTTCTCACCCCAGAGGAAAGGAACTACAAAGTGGTTATCACAGGGTAAGTGCAATATGTGATACTCACCTCTGTCACGTCATTTTCTATCTGTCAGCAACAAATGATAAAAGAACAATTTCTGTACCAACAGCCATCTTGCTTCAACAGCTGGAAGCCACATAGATTTGTATTAATATCATTTAGATCCTTCATACAAATCCCTTTGAGCTTAGAAATACCCAACTGGCACCAGTGTATGCACACTTACCCAGAGCTCTGCTTTTAATAGCAGAGTCTGTGCCATAACTTAGGGTTTAACCTATATAAATACAGCTGTAACTTGGAGTGATTTGTTTGTCATCCACAGATGAGAATGTAATCCCATATGGGCAGTCCAGCTTCCTGCCCCAGGTCCAGATGTCAGGCTATGGGTCCCTGGGTGGAGGAGTCCTTTCAAGACCCTCCACTGCTGGGCGGAGGAGAGATGAGGTATGTCTAGACTTGCTGCACAAACTGCTAAACAGACACTGCAGTCTGCATGCTGTGGGTCACAGTCAGTTCAACAGTAAACTGAGGGCTTGTCAGATTCCTTGAGACAGTGAGTTGTAGAAGTTTCCCGTGGGTGTTGGGCAAGGGCCGAAAGAAGTTCTCTAACATAATGACTCGAAAAACTCTCCAACAATCTACTGATACAAAATGGGGATCTGCAATATCATTTGGAGTGCTGTTAAAAACTCCCCACATGTTTCCTTGCATGTACATATGAATGAAGCTCCTTTCCCACTGCACAAAAAAAACACTAACATCTGGCTTTTGTATTTTAAGTCAAACGCTTCATTAACTTACTTTTCCACCTCAGCCAAAAACTTTTTTCGTGATATTTTGCCTTTTTGTATTTTCAGCAGTTTTATTTTGAACATTTACATCGAAACTTATGATTATTTGTATTTCAATGAATGAAATGTCCCTCTTACTCACAATTTAAGAACAAAAAATCAGATTAAGGGACTCTTAATCAAAAGTGTTTGATCATGTTATGTGTTTATGAATTTATAGAAATGAAACAGAAAAAAAACCTCTTAAATATGACATTCAGTATCTACCATGTTGTTCAGTAACCTCCATGTGTCTGGTAACGTGTATTTAAATGTTACTCTCAGACTTCTGCACCGTCTCATTGCTCTCTGTGTTGTGTTTGTTTTCAGAACCTCATGTAGACAGACGCCGATTACATGACATGACCTCCTCCTTTTTCCTCCCTGATCTCCTGTCTTTGCAAACCATTAATCTGTTGCCATGGTATCATGAAAAAACTGAAGACTAAAGGGAAAGCATCAAGGTTTGCCATCTGCCTTTTCATTTTTGTTTTATCTTAATGATTTCATATTTATTTTTTTGTGATCTCCCTCACCTTTATCCCGTGTAAATAGACATCTTTGCAATTTTTTAAAGATGTGACCAGATGTAATACTAAAAATGGATCTTTAAAAAAAAAACAAAACAGTATTTTTAGGCAATGGAAAGTTAACTATGACATTATTGTACAGCAGATAAATGAATGTATCTTCTGTTTACTCCTGACCATGAAACCATGATAATGTGTGAGTTTGACAAAAGACTGGAGAAGACATGAGGCAGAAAATGTGTTAATAAATCATCATGTGGGTGTGTGAGTGTGGGTGTGTGTGTCAGTGCATGTTGTAGTGTTTGTGTGTGTAATTGTTTTTATCTCTCATCTCTGTGTGACTGTGTACTGTGGTATCCCTGTAGATCACCAGTGTGTTAGCTCTGTCAAGATTTTTAAACTGACCAATAAAACATTTATTACAAAAAAAAGCGTGTGTGTGTTACTGTTACTGAATATCAGGGAAGGACTGCAGAAGCATTCAAGCCATGCTAGGGGCATGGCTGTAGGCTGTCCTGCACTCGTTGGTCCAGCACTTTGGTCAGACTGAAATATCCTAAACACTATAAAGAAGAAATTTGGTAGAGACACTAGGTTGCCCTGAGACGATGGGCCACTTGTTACAGACATGCAGAAGGTCCCACCACCTCTCTTTCATTGGAGCAGGGCACACAGATTTTACAATTTTTTAGCCACTTTCTGTTGTTTTGCATCATTTTGTAGTTGCCTTCCATCTTTTATTTGTCTCTTTGTGGTTTTTTTTCATCTTTGTGGTCATTTTGTGTCCCTTTTCAGCTATTTTGCATCTGTTTGTGGTCATTTTGTGTCTCTGTGGTCATTTTGCATCTTCAAGTTATCATTTTGAGTGTGTTTGTTGTTGTTTTCTAACTGTTGATGGTCATTTTTTTGTCTCTCTGTAGTCATTTTGTGTCCCTCCTCAGCTATTTTGAATCTCTATGTGGTCATTTTGTGTCTCTTTGTGGTCATTTGTGTCCCTCCAGCTATTTTGTGTCCCTCCAGCTATTTTGTGTCCCTCCAGCTATTTTGTGTCATTTATTTGTCTCTTTGTGGTCATTTTGTGTCCCTCCAGCTATTTTGCATCATTTTTTTGTCTCTGTGGTCATTTTGTGTCCCTCGTCAGCTATTTTGTGTCATTTATTTGTCTTTCTGTGGTCATTTGGTGTTCCTCCAGCTATTTTGCGTCATTTATTTGTCTCTTTGTGGTCATTTTGAATCTGTTTGTGGTCATTTTGTGTCCCTCTTCAGCTGTTTTGCATCTCTTTGTGGTCATTTTGCATCTACATGTTGTCATGTTGAGTGTGTTATTGCTTTCTTACCCTTTGTGGTCATTTTTTGTCTCTCTGTGGTCATTTTGTGTCTCTGCTTGATTGGTTCATGTTTATTTGAGTAAAATTTTGTTGCTAAGAGCCAGGAGTGCCTGTGCCCGTTGGACCCATTCAGCACTTCATCCATGGCCTTGAACTGTTGAAACTTTGGTGACTTTCTGACTTCATCTTGTGCCTTCATCAGGTCAAAAACATAATTGCCCAATTGCTTTATGAGCCCTGTACATGCGCACAATTTAATAATTTAGGCTCCCTAATTAATAATTTGTGTGCACAAATTAAGTGCTGTCGATTTAATGTCACATTATATATTTTGCTCCCTCCCATCTTATAGAATAAGCTGCGGCTTATTAAAGAAGAGGATGAAGACATTTATAAAGTGCTCCAGAACCCAGAGGGTGATTTTTTTATGAAGTTGGTGCAGTTTCATCAAATTTTTTACAACAAAATGGGCTGTCAACCTGTAAAATATGTTAAAGGGATATCAAAGATAAACACATTGACATTAAACACACACTTATCTCAGTCCAAGATCAAAATTAAAACTGTGTGAGGGGCATACAAACGACATGACTATCATGAAAGTGATCGGTTATGCTAAATGGAGGGCGCAAATTGTAATTATGTGTTGATTGATGATCATATTATTATAGACAAGCAAAGCAGTTTTAGTTGTATAGCAAATTTTCACGTTAGCATGACTCTTGGTGCTGCTGACATGTAGAGTAGTTAATAGAAATAACGTTTGTACTGGAAAATACTGACACATACTTTAATTTGGCCTGTAATAACTTCAGTACAAACCTTTTGAGCAAAGTGAACAAAAGATCCATCTCTATGACATGAAATGCGATGTGTGTGTGTGTGTGTGTGTGGGTGTGGATGGGTGTGTGTGTGTGTGTGTGTGCTGGGTAATTCAGATGATTTACAGGAGTATGAAGTGAAAGAGAGGAAAAAACAGACGACTGAGCTCAAATTTTTCCATCAGAGCCAAATGTCTCTGAGGAGTTTGTTATCTCGCGTTCCCAGAAAAATGGCCCTTCTGATACCAGATACTGTGGATGATTTGATGCCTTCTTGAGATTGTGGTATTGTGAGAAAGCATGTTTGTGAATTGTGGCTTAATGAAAGGAGGTAACCTTCATCCCTATGTGCTGCTCCTGAGATGCGACAGCGATGGGATATAAAAAGGCTTTCTTCATGTCTGCACCTTCATCTGCTGCATGTGCCTCTTGTGCGCAGATCTCACTGGTGTAAGTATGACAGTATTTTGGCAGGGAGGCAGTCGGATGGTGCGGAAAGTGAGTTGGAAACCACTGCCTCTGGCAAATACCCACTGGGTCCCACCAGGCTAGGAGGATAATGGTAATCCGATGCAATTTAGAAGGGTTCTACAATTTTATGCTTTTAGGCCTGTAGCAAGGATTAGGGTCTCTGCGGTTTACACCCACCGCAAACACAGACACACACACACACACAGACAGCCACAGTGTGTTACTGAGGCCACTTCACATGGATTCACAAATCAACTGGAACAACAGGAAGATTTTTTTCCTCATAGAATCTTATTTTCTTTAATACATGTCATTTATTTCACTTCATAGATCCCACCCACACACGTTTTAAAGACATAGAAATACCTGCTTCGAATAATAAAATTTCAATTTACCACATCAGACTGTAAGTTGCGTAGAGACCACAGCTGGCCTCCAAACAGGATGTGAAATACAAGGAAAATCAGGCCATATGTAGCCTATATGTTTTTAACTAAGATTTTTGGCAGCTGAATGTAAAGACTTCATTCGCCTTCGAGTGTCAAACTCCATACAACTATTCTGCACAGTGACGACCAAACATCCAACAAAGTAACAATTAATAAAACACATTTTTGAGTGGAGGGGGACCTAAAATCCACATTAAATTATGGTCAACATGGCAGAAAGTTCAGTACATATACCCAAGAGCAGTGGTTTCCAACTGGTGGATCGCGGCCCAGCAGTGGGCTGTAGGTCCATCCTGAATGGACCGCAAGTGACTCAGAAACACAACAAGTTTATAAATAACACTTCATTTTGAAGTGCAGTGAATTTCGGCACAGAGCTTTTATTTCACAGTGCTGTTTCCCTGCTGTAGAGTGAGTGACAGACCCTCACAACAGACAGCCACTTGACAGAGACAGCAAACTAACTCGATGACATGGCCAAATGCAAGCATGACACTGAATATATTAAACTGTGTGGACCTTGAACTAATGATTAAGAAGAAATCTGGGCCCCATGGCTGGATCAGTTGGGAACCACTGCACTAGGGGGCACCTTTACAGTTACAGGGGGGCACTTGGAAAAGTAATAAGTAACTCAACTAATTTTAAAAAAAGTTGTAATTGTCAGAATCAAGTGTATTGCTATGTAGGTGTTTACATACAATAAATTTGCTTTGGTGTATTGGAGCACAACACAGTGACAGTAAATTCAAAAAAGCTTTGCAAAAAATCAAAGAGCATAACTCCCCTTACTTTGTGCAACACAGTATATTTACACTGTGAATTCTGTGTAACATTTACTCAATATTTATTTATTATGGTATCTGCCTTTGCAAGGCAACACTGTTTAAATTGTCCTTACATTGTTTTTAATTGTTTAATTCTTAATCTTATCTCATCTCATCTTATCTTATCAGAGCTGGTAGTTTGTGCATAAAAGTGCAAAACTGTCAAAAGAATGCTCAGATGTTCATGGTAGGACGTATAAAAAAAGCTATATGCAGAGTGGTCCTGAAGATGTGCGTCATGCAATGCATAAAGATGGATGTGAAGACATTGGTGTCCATGGTGGGGGACAGATGTTAGTTTCAGTGGGGGTCCAGGGCCTTATTGATGAGGCCAGCAACAGTCAGGGAGAAACTGTTCTTATGGCGTGAGGCTTTGGTCCTGATGGATCCCAGCCTCCTGCCAGTGGGGAGTATTACGAAGAGTTTGTGTTCATGGTGAGAGGGGTCGGCCACAATCTCTCTTGCCTCAGGGTCCTGGGTGAGTGCAGGTCTTAGAGGAACAGAAGACTGCAGCTAATAACCTTCTCAGTGGAGCGAATGATATGCTGCAGTGTTTAGGAGGAACATAAACAATACAATACATCATTCAGTATGAGTTCTAACACCTAATCAAAATGTGCTGCGATAAGATCATAAAACCTAGTGAGAAAATAAGCAAAGGCATCTAAATAAAAAAGTAAAACTACTGGACAAAACAGTAGTAGTATTAATACAAAACTTTCCAACATTGAGTTAAAGAAACCGAGCCTAAACAGCCACAATTCCAGGATTACAAGAAATTATTAGCTGAAGCCCCTGTGCCAGCGGAGGATTATCCTGCTAAAGTGTCCCTAAACAAGATGTCGTATCCCTACAGGCTCTACAGGTGTTCATCTGTCTCTGACCCTGCGTGTGGGTCCAGTAAACTCATCAGGAGCTGCCGGTGTCACTGTCATTGTGGAGAGGGAAATTATTTGTAAATCCCCTTTGACACCAACACAAAGTGCTTTACATAAGACATAGAAATGCATCCAACATACAAGGCTGAAAGTAAGTAAGTAAGTAATAAGCTGAAAGTTGTCCCAAATATAACTTAATAAAATGCAGTGACAAATAGAAATGTTTTAAGCCTCAATTTAAAGGACAGATAATTAAGTAAAGCATTCTGCATCAGGGATGACTGATAGCAGAAAATGGGTTTGGGGTGAGATAAAAAGATTTTCTGGCTCAGCAGGTGAAAAAAAAAAAAAAAGTAATCATCATTCAGGTGAAAATCTCACAGTGAATTAAGATAGTAATTTTTCTATCCCATCGTGGCATAGTGGCAACAAACCTATTCGTATGAGAGAGAATCCAACTAATGACTCAGTCTTTGGTGCAGGACTAAATAAAAGGCCCCATCTAGTGGTCATTACTGAGACTTGCAGGGTGACTGTGGTGCCCATGTGCTGTATGTTGATGGTCATCAGTGAATGCTATAGATAGAAAGGAACTGTGTGTGGAATTTAATGTAACTGCCAGGGACATCTACTGATATTCAATATGTCAAACTTTTAGTTTTACTCTAAAACTAACAGAGCTTTTGCCTGTGATTGAACTTTCTTTTTGCCACCATAAGCTGTCTCCAATGTCATCTCCGAAAATTTGGCAGTACATCCAACCAGTCTGGTGAGCCATCCAAGGACTGTTGAAACCGGCTTCTTCATCTGCAAGATCGTCTGAAACCAGCCACTGAGAATGAACTTCCCTGAGAAGGTTTCTGACATAAATTCTACAGTTGTGCAAACATGTGGTTACATGTGGTGGTCTGCGGTTGTTTGCTGGCTGGATGTACTGCCAAATTCTCCGAAATAAGACTGGAGACAGCTAATGGTAGTGAAATGAACATTCAGTGCACAGGCAACAGCTCTGGTCAGCATGTTGATGGTAAGCTCCCTCAAACTTGCAGCATCTGTGGCATGTGTTGTGTGATAAAACTGCACGTTTCAGAGTGTTCTTTTATGACCAGCCCAGCACACTCCTAGTTATAATCATGTTGTTTAATCAGCCATACACTAAGACCGTCAGGTGGATGGATTATGCATTATGTTAGTGCTCACGGACACAGATTTAAACGAATTTGTAAGAGAACTGAGCCTTTTTGTGTGCAGAGACAAAAATATTAGATCTTTGATTTCAACATATTAACACGTGAGCAAAAAAAGTGTTGCTTTTATGTTTTTGTCGAGTGTATTTACACCTTTTCTTCATGTCAAAACATCCTTCGTGAAAAGGCTCATTAAACATGGAAACATTTTAAAGGTAGGGTCTGGAGGATTTTCCAGTTGCTGTTTGTAAACACACATTCAAATTCGGCCCCTCCTATCAGGCTCAACTCTCCCGGGTGTACGGAGCCCGGAGGTACGGAAGAAGGCTTCACAGAAGAGGTTCAGGCAAGGCTTGCGCTGGTGCACGCTCGGACACGCTCGGGCACGGCACCTGCGCTCTCTCATTGGCTGGGGGAATCTCAGCCCAGAAGCGGTCAGAGCTCACAAAAACATCAAAATACAGTTAAAGGGTAGGAGCTCTGCAAACAGAGTCACCACCACACATGAGTAGAAGCCCATAGGTGATGATTAAGCAGGATTTCATTTGTATATGTCTATATTTTGTTTTGTTTGAAAATCCTCCATATCCTATCTTTAACACCCAGTGTTCTCAATTAAAACAACAAATAATCTCCCGCAATTAAAGTAAATATCCTGCTAAATTTTCCATCAGCAGATATAAACATTTTTTAAACAGTGAACTAAAGCTGAACTGAAGTTGTTTACGTGATGTTGTGAGCATTATGATGAAGGTCTAGCTTACTGTTTAGCCCTGTGACATGTGCATAATACCCTTTAACCTTCTCCCTGTAAGTCGTAGCAGACTGTATTGTAGCAGAAAGGGGAAAAGGAAAGGAAAAGGGCAGAACGGCCCTTTAACACTGTGACAGGAAAGGAAGGTGGGGAGCAAGGTTTACTTCAGTTTGTGCACATCTTTGCTCTAAATCCATATGGGGAAAAAGTAGAGCCAAAAGTAAAGCAAGCAGCAGTTGAGACAAAGACCGGCTGACTTGTGTAGAGTTTTCTAGACACCAAGGCTATTGAAGGTGTGCTGATCCCTGGAGCAGGTGGGATGAAGGTTGTTCATCTCCTTCTTAAACCTGTTTGGATGCACCGGTGAACTTCCTCGCTGTGGCCATCAAGATAAGTCTCCTATTACTGCCCTCTCCAGGCTTCTCTCCGAAGTCATTTATATTATCCTTAACCCCTCAGTCACATTACCCCTTGACAGTCAAAATCCCCTCACACACACTGAACTGAACTGACCTGGACTGCAGCCATACACACTTCACTTGGAAACAAACTTACACTTCAGTATGGGCTATACAAACAGTACGCTGTGTACATACGGATAACAATCTGACTTGAATATACTGCAGACAGGTTGTCTTCCAGCCTGTAGGCTTATCTGTACATAACAGCTGTGGTTTATATTTGCCTCATATCTTTGCTTAGCTGTATGTCTGTATCTGCATTGTCCTGCATGTTTTAGGTATATTGAGTGTACTGAGTGAGAACTGGGGTCAAACGCTTCCAGCAAACACATTAGGGGTACTCTGTATTTATGTAAATGTAAATCAGGTTAAGTGCTTTTGCCTGATTTGTTCTAAACTCCTTGAAATGAGACTCTTTGGTGACTCTCACGCAGCTACCTGATTAAAAATCTCTCCACCACTCTCAGACCCTTACAAGAGCAACACTTCTTCAGACATGCAGTATGGTTAGAGGCCACGGGGCATCAGGGTCATCTGGGGCAAAGCACTACCTGTTGGTGGTTGAAAAAAAGAGTAGTTTTAAATCTACTGAGTAACTTAAATATTGACGTAGGCTTATTCTGGATAAATGCCTGCCATAAAAATCCTTAGCTGCATTATTCTACAATTTAAGATCAGTGTCTGGATATGACAGATTTCAAATGGTGTTTTCAATGTGCTTAGCTCCAAAGGCAGGCCCACACTTGCGATGTCAAGTGCCCTGAGTGTGAGGAAAACAGCAATGTTTCCAAAGCTTTCAGCGATGAAAGTGAGTATAAATTCAATGCTACCTATGGCTGATTACCTGTCCTTGCCTCACTGCATTCTGATGGGTATTCACCAAATAGTATTAACGTTGTGCTTGTAGTTGTCAGAAATTCTTTTAAAGAAGATAGTAACTGTGGTCTCCACGAAATGTGCAATGTGAAAAGCCGTGCATTAGAAAGTCTGCCTTCCAAAAACTTGACATTAAACATCTCAGAGCCCACCAGCTGCATGGATCTTATGATAAACCAAACTCCTGGAAGAAACATGGAGTTGTTGTCTAGGTACAAATGGTGAACTGCTAGCTTTTCAGAGAAGACACTAATGTTTTGCTTCCCCTGTTAGAGGTGATGACACCCAGTCAAAAGCATCTCTCAGAGAGGATTGCCAAACATGGAAGCAGCAGGACAGTGGTAAAACTGGGCTTGCTAAGCTACCATAAAGCAAGTGGAGGGGAACAGTTACACGCCCAGTCACCTGTGTTGTGATATATATTTTTTCTCATACTCAACCAAGGGTGTAGGTTTTGTTTCAATATTTGGGTGGGACATGTATAAAGCAGAGGTGTAGCGGTCCTCCTCCAAGAAATTCTGATTGTCTAACACTTCATTTCCTGCTCACTGGTGAAACTGTATGCATTCATTTGTGTCTCTTCTGCATCAGCTTATGGTGTAAATGTCATGTTACTTCCTGGTCCAATTTTGCATAGCTGCTTCTTCTTCTTTGTGTTTTATGGCAGATTGCAATCATTGCTTTTGGGGCTGTGCTTTACTGGACTCACTGGTGTGTCTGAGTTGCCATTGTAATGGGAAATTACTTTTCTGAATAAAGAATACTCAGATAACACTCAGAGTCAAATGTTGTCTTTCTGTAAAGTTTAATCCAGCAACAGTTGCAACCAGGTGAAAAAGTTCAGAGAGAGTGAGCCCAGAGCATCATATTTCAACAGCATGTTATGTAACTGGGGTGAGAAGTACAGGTCAAGTGTCTGTTTAGGATAACAATTAAAAACATACCATCCTAAGAGGCTCTCCCACCTTATCTCTATGTAAGCACTTAAATTATGTTTAGCAGATGACGCGAAGGGAGAGACGACTTCTTCCTAAAAGTCACGGCCTGTTCTGGTCGTAAGTCACGTCCTGTGATCTGACCTTGCACATGGCACCTTGTCTTTATGCTACGTGACTATACATGTAATCAGATAAAATTTCCATCACACCATCTAGTAGTGCGTCAAAATAAAAGCCCTCTGCTTTCATATTTTTATTGGCAGGGACAAATACATACTGAGGAGGATGAGCCCCCTGCAAGCCCAATATCTATGCCTATATACGCAACATATCTCTACAATGTGCAGAGATATGTTTTGTTTCCCGCTCCAGTATGGTATTTGGCATAACAAAAGAGATATGCAAACATTAAATATGGTGCAAATATTTAAGGAATTCAGGGGAATGGTGGAGGGTTCCTTGTTACTTCTATGATTCCTGCTTTTGCACCTGTGCGTAGTTGTTACACCGCCATTGTTTCCCCCTAAAACACCACTTAGTATGCTACACCAGCTACACCATCAAGAGAGTGACTGAAATACTAATTTCTCACTCATAACTCTCTTTTTAAACCCCAGCTCTTTCTACAGCACGCTGCTAACAAAGACAAATCACTTTTATTGCAGCTTCTTCACCCAGATTGTACAAACCCACAACTCTATTAGCCGCCCACTAACCAGCTCATCATACGCTGTTCTGCCAAGTTATCCATACACATCTTGGACTGTGACTTTATGCTGCTGGCTGTGTTCAAGTTCACTATTACATGTGTTTTTATTTAACAAATGTCTGAGCAGTTCTTCATGTGTAATTGAATAAATTCCCTTGTGCTCGCTGTGTGCCAACTAAGTGACAGGAGCATGAAAATATGAGACGTCAATGAATTAACCTGCAATTAGTCTTCCCACTGTTGTTATGAGGGATGCAAAGGCTTTAAAAGCACAGTGTAGTGAGTGCAGCTGCTGGAGTATCGTCATCATTTATACTGCACGCCTGAGAAGATGATTGATTTTATGTAAATGAGCACAGCACACAACTTGAATTGTAGTAATTTGTACACAAGTTGCTGCAGACAATTGTATTTAGAGGCAGAAATGACCAGATATTTACTGACAATAATGTTGCTTTCCCATCAGCGTAATAGGAAGAAGGATTTACCCAAAACGCATCAGCTGAGACTCAATTCAAAATGACGTTTCTACCACTTAAAATAATCTCTGTCAAATGAACCTTTCCAGCAACGGCAGCGGGTAAGCCCGTTGCAGGCCGTGAGTTTACTGTGTGGGGTTGTGCAGCATTTTGAATTAAAAGCCCTGTGTCATCAGTATTACTGCACAGCGCTTTAACAGTTTTGTATTTTCAGCAGATTCCCTAAAACACAAAACTCATCCTCTGTGATTGGTCGTGGCTCAGCATGCTCCATTGTTCCCTCAGCCCGTTTGTTCGCTTGGTTTCCTATGCACAAACAAAACTTTCCTGCCTGCCCCGCACAATATTGGGCTCCTCTGTGCTTTGACAACCCGAAATATTGGAATCTCTGACTTTTTCTGAGGGAAAAAAAATAAAGGTAGGTCGTTAATATTAAAACATCATGTGTGAGACTGTAATTTAGTATAATTGAAAGAAATTTTAAAAAGTGATATTTGATCTTGGTAGTTAATCTCTGCATAAATTTCCCTTTAAATAGCTTTAAAATTTGTGGAAAAAACTAACTTTATGAACTACGGAAACCAAGAAGCCTTTGATCATGGATGCAGAATTGAATCAAATCTTTAAAACTAAATTTCTTTTGCACAGTTGTCTACCCATACTTAAGCATGACATGCATTGTATCTTTGGAAATGTGGTGTTCTTAATCAAAATTTAAAATACATTTCTGTGGGTTTGAGAAAGCTTTGTAAAGATGGACCCACCTCTCACTCTGCCATTGTTAGAGCTTGATGACTTGTCAGCTTGAGCTGGCTGCTCATCCACCATGTAAATTTCCTCTCAGTGTCATTGCCTAATGAGTACTGTTTCTATAGTCAGATGTGTCAAGCTCCAGCGCAGCATTTGTGGCATCCTGCTGAATGTTTTTAGATATTGTTTTATTCATATTGAGTGGAGCCCCGCGCTCTGCAACAGGAAGCGCCTACTTTAATTGGTAGAGTGGGGGCCCAGATGTTTGCGAGGCTCTGACCTGCTCTGTTTTCTGTATGTCAGTCAGTGTTTTTTTAGCAGGATGTACAGCTTCATGGGAGGTGGGTTGTTCTGAGCCGGAGTCGGGAACATACTCCTCATTGTCTCCACGGCAACTGACTACTGGATGCAGTACCGTCACTCCAGCAATTACATGCACCAGGGCCTGTGGCGGTACTGTGTGCCCGGGAAATGCATGACACACACAGACAGCATCGGTAAGACTCTCTGGGTGTCTTCCACTGCGTGTGCACAGGCACATCCTCATTTATATTTATTAGTTTGCTGACAGTCAGTCTGTGAACTCCACACTAACCCTGCTCAACACCAGGGTTACTTCCCTTTGGGGCTTTGTTGGGATGTGAATGTTATCAAGAAATCTTTTTTGTAAAAACCCACTGGTTTCATTTTGTAAAGGCGCTGTATTAATTGATTGCTACATGAAGTTTTCAGGTTATTTTCAGTCATCTGTCAAAAGTTAATTCATCAAATCAGGTGCAAGTCCATTCCCAAACACTAGAAGGCAAGCTAGAGCTGAAGAAAATCATGAATAACTGTGAAAATGAAATATATCAACACAATGAAAAAGACTTAAAAGATTCTTAATTCCACATTTGAATCTGATCTCTCAAGTCTCAGACCTCATGTCCTTTTACCCACAGCGTACTGGGATGCCACCAGAGCCTTCATGATTCTCTCCCTGCTGGCTTGTTTCATCGGCATTGTGATCGGCGTCATGGCCTTCATCCACTACTCTTCCTTTGACGGGTTTGACAAGACATTTGCAGCCGGCATTCTCTTCTTCATCTCCTGTGAGCTCCTCCGCCATAGCTACATTGCAAGCCTCTCCACTGTAGTGAACACCTTTTACCAGCTAAACCTCATGATTGTATCTCCTCTGTAGCCTTCTTTGTGTTGCTGGCCATGGCTGTCTACACAGGAGTGACAGTGAACTACTACGGTAAACGCTATGGCAGCTGGCGATTCTCCTGGTCCTATATAATGGGCTGGGTGGCAGTGGTGCTCACATTCTTCTCAGGTGTGCATCCTAACACACAAACTAATGCAAACACACAGGTGTGCCTCATTCTCGTGTTTATATTCTCTTCTTAATGATCTGATTCTTCTCTTCCAGGTATCTTCTACATGTGTGCCTACCGGATGCACGAATGCCCAAGAAACTCTAACTCACGCTGACCTGCCAAAGACAACACATACATCAGTACTGGTCCATCATATACGGCCAAGAGGAACCAATACCCTGTCAACTTTCCAACTACTTCCTGAATATTCATGAATAAGCAAAATAAATGAGAAAAAAAGAACACATTTGTTGTTTGTCATTAATTGGAGTAAAAGAAATACAGTACAGTAGAGCTGCACACTTATGCATGAGAGCAGAAATGGTGCTTGATGTTCTAGGGATAAGCAAATGAAATGGTATGGCATGATTACAATGCTATAAATCAACATATCTGAGGCACAGATTAATAAAAAAAGTGTTGGTGTACTGTACAACTACTGATAACAGCACAAATGACCACTTTAAAAACTACTAGACTCAACATCATACAGTAAAGTACTGTAAGGTAAAAAATCTGTTACTGTTGGTAAAGAGTATCACCTGTGAAAGTGAAAGTCAACCCCAGTGTGGCTGCACTTGGTGTTCTGCCTCACTATATTTGCATTTTTTGTTTATTTTTCCAGTACTGTCTGTTTCCTCTTGGATGTGTGCTGCCCCACCCAGGAATGTCCCTAAAACAGCAAAAGAAAAAGAAAAAATGCAGATAAATGCAACATCACACACCAGAGTCCTGCATCAGGTTGGGTACCTGCGAATACCCGGCAGCTGACACGCAAAAAGTTGATTTTCAAGTGGCATTTTGTCTTTATTATTATTTTTTAATTTTTCGGGTTCAGTTTTAGGTGAAAAAAAGAGCATACAGGTTGGATCCTGAGTGTTTTATGATAAATATATTGAAATAAAATTAAAACAATATTAATAATTTAATGTTTTTAATCCTGTGACTGCTGACTTTGAGTTACCAAGTTACCAACAGGCACAGTAACTGTGGAGATGTGCTGCTCAACTTAATAAGAATAAGCGAAATGTATTTTAATCGGATTTCCTGAGATATCTTCTTTTAAAATATATCTTAATTTCATGTCTGAAATGATGAAAAAGTGATGATTGAGAGGGATTACTTGTGTCTATACATGTTTTTTTTTTTGGGAAAATCCTGCAAAATATACCATAAATATTTGGATAATTTCTTAACAGATCATGTGTGTAGTGGAGCAGATGTTGCATGTAATATATGTAACACTTAAAATTAACATTAGAATAAGCTGTCATGGTGACTGTAAAGTGATGAAAATTATGAGTGATGAGTCAAAGTCCAAAAAAGTTTTTTATTTAGTCTCATTTTGCAAAGTACACATAACTAAGTGAGAAAGAAATAGAAATGTGATAATACAAACATTAACTGTTTTAACTGGACGCAACACAGCCACTTGAAAAGACCGCCTACCAGAAAAGCCACAGAGGAAGTGTTGCTGAAGGCTGGCGTACAAAAATTATCAAAACAATCCCAAAAGAGGCGTGGTTAATGGTTCTTAACAGTGTAGATAACTCGGCAATATAATGTGATCACCCTTCACACCAACCTCAAAGCAGGAAAGAGAACAAGCTCATGCAAGTTTGATAAACAACTCCTTTAGTCGACTTCCTCGATGGTGGGGCCGGAGGACGCTCCTCCGCCTGATGGATCGGCACCTCCGGTGAAGCCGCCTGGCATTCCCCCCGGCATCCCCCCTGCACTCTGGTACAGCTTGGTCATGATGGGGTTACACAGCTTCTCCAGCTCCTTCTGCTGATGCTCAAACTCATCTTTCTCTGCAGACTGAGGAGGGGGATTTAAGTATCAATCTAATGCCAGCTGGTAACTATTTTAAATTTACAAACATATAACGTATTCTTAATCATACCTGGTTTCTGTCCAGCCAGCTGATGACCTCGTTGCACTTGTCCACAATCTTCTTCTTGTCCTCCTCGCTGATCTTGTCCTTCAGCTTCTCATCCTCCACGGTGGACTTCATATTGAAGGCGTAAGACTCCAGGCCGTTCTTGGCAGTCACCTTCTCTCTCTGCACATCATCCTCAGCCTTGTATTTCTCTGCTTCCTGGACCATACGCTCGATGTCCTCCTTACTCAAGCGACCTGATGGATTTTTATTTCAAATAAACATAAGGTTGAATACTGTGTGTCTAATTTCACGATCAAGATATGACGGTAAAGTTCTTCTTCTGATTACCTTTGTCATTGGTGATTGTGATCTTGTTCTCCTTCCCGGTGCTCTTGTCGACAGCAGACACATTCATGATGCCGTTGGCGTCGATGTCAAAGGTCACCTCAATCTGAGGAACTCCTCGGGGCGCAGGGGGGATTCCTGTCAGCTCAAATTTCCCCAGAAGGTTGTTGTCTTTGGTCATGGCCCTTTCACCCTCAAACACCTGCGGATTTAACGCCAGTTCAACTCATCAAGAAAGATTTTACTGAAATGTAATCGTTCTTTTACGCTAAATATGGCGGTCATACCTGAATGAGCACACCAGGCTGGTTGTCTGAGTAGGTGGTGAATGTCTGGGTCTGCTTCGTGGGGATAGTTGTGTTCCTCTTGATGAGAACAGTCATGACTCCTCCAGCAGTCTCGATGCCCAGAGACAAGGGGGTCACATCCAGCAGCAGCAGGTCCTGCACGTTCTCTGATTTGTCGCCTGACAGGATGGCTGCCTGCACGGCTGCAGAGCACGTGGGTGGATTTTGAGTTTTACATTTGCATCATATTTGTAAATCAAACTGTCAGGATGAGTTTGAGTTATATTTATAGACATAAAGGGGTTTTACCTGCACCATAGGCCACTGCTTCGTCTGGGTTAATGCTCTTGTTGAGGTCCTTCCCGTTGAAGAAGTCCTGCAGCAGCTTCTGGATCTTGGGAATGCGAGTGGAACCTCCCACCAAGACAATGTCGTGGATCTGAGCCTTGTCCATCTTAGCGTCACGGAGAGACTTCTCCACGGGCTCCAGGGTTCCTCGGAACAGGTCTGCGTTCAGCTCCTCAAACCGGGCTCTGGTGATGGAGGTGTAGAAGTCGATTCCCTCGTACAGAGAATCGATTTCGATGCTGGCCTGTGTGCTGGATGACAATGTGCGCTTGGCCCTCTCGCACGCCGTGCGCAGACGACGCACCGCCCTCTTGTTGTCACTGATGTCTTTCTTGTGCTTGCGCTTGAACTCGGAGATGAAGTGGTTGACCATGCGGTTATCAAAGTCTTCTCCGCCCAAGTGTGTGTCGCCTGCTGTGGACTTGACCTCAAAGATGCCGTCTTCAATGGTCAGGATGGAGACGTCAAATGTGCCACCGCCCAGGTCAAAGATGAGGACATTTCTCTCGGCTCCAACCTGAAGTTTGAAATGAATTTACTGTGATTTGGGTATTGGATACAACCACTTTCAGCAAGCACTTTGGGCTTTTTTTCAAAACCTCACATTCAAAGTCGACTCTAAAGGCACACATAAAACTGTCAAAAACAAAAAACTTAAGACAGGACAGAGAGCAGTTTTAAGTGTTGTTATAAACTCACACAAAACTGTAGCCTAAAGATTGCTTTACCTTTTTGTCCAGGCCATAAGCAATAGCAGCAGCAGTAGGCTCGTTGATGATACGAAGGACATTAAGTCCAGAAATGGTCCCTGCATCTTTGGTGGCCTGGCGCTGCGAGTCATTGAAGTAGGCAGGCACAGTCACCACTGCATTTGTAACAGTCTGCAAGAAGAAATGTTACAGGAAACTGCTGTTAATGAGACATAATTGACATTCTCAACATCAAAAGTATTTTTTAATCAAAGCAGAGCCACCAGATCCTTAATTTTTTTTTAAATAATGTGACTTGTAAACAAGACAGAGATACTGCAGAGTTCAGTTTAAAATGTTTTGCAGGTGACATAGCAGCCAAAATACTGTAGTAGAAGATACAATTTGTGCATTTGTTTTGACTTCTCATCCAAATCTCCTCTCTAATTAACAAACAAAAAGCTTCTCAGATTAATGTTGTAAAAAGGGAACACAGGTGTACCTTTCCGAGGTATGCCTCTGCGATCTCCTTCATTTTAATCAGCACCATGGAAGAAATCTCCTCTGGGTAAAAGGTCTTGGTCTCCCCCTTGTACTCCACTTTTACTTTTGGGCGTGAGGAATCATTGATGACTGTAAATGGCCAGTGTTTCATGTCTGACTGGACAACGGCGTCATCAAACCGACGTCCAATGAGACGTTTGGCGTCTGAAGGGCAATTAAAAAAGAAATAAATGAGCAGAAACATCAAAATTAACTAGCTATACTTTTCCTTTTCTAGTAATGTATTTTCATACCGAATACTGTGTTGTTGGGGTTCAGGGCCACCTGATTCTTGGCTGCATCTCCAATCAGCCTCTCGGTGTCAGTGAAAGCAACATAACTGGGTGTGGTCCTGTTTCCCTGGTCATTGGCAATGATCTCCACTTTGCCATGCTGGAACACTCCTACACAGGAGTAGGTAGTGCCCAGGTCAATGCCGACTGCTGGTCCCTTGGACATGGTTCCTGAGAACATGAATATGATCAGCTGTTAATCATATATTGGCACTACACTGAAAAGCTGGGTCTGTGACAGATGACTATCTGTGAGTGGCTACCGTGATGCACATTTGTAGTAGGGTGTAATGAGGCTATTATCAGAGTCTGAGCAGCTCAAACAGAAGTGAAGTGAAGGTCCACAGCACCTGTTTTTAAGCCTCCTACATTTGACAGCTTGGCAACGGCTGCCTTTATTATGGCAACTACAGATAACAAAGAGAGGAGGACCTTTTCTAAGACGCAGGTTTACTGTGGCCTGATAACCACACTGAACTGCCATTTCATTATGTTATCATAGAGCTGAAATGTTAATTGTTAGGTTGATCAACTGAAAATTATCACCCACTATTGTGATTATCATATCATTGTTTGTGTCATTTTTCAACATGAAAATGTCAAACTTTGTCTGATTTGAGCTTTTGCAGTATGTTCCGGCT